AGATCCTAGAAAGGCGCCCCAACCAGTCTGGGAAGCATCTGTGGTTATCCACTGTTTTTGTTCAAACGAGAGGCCCTTTGAAATGTTGCTTCTTTCTTTCCACCAGTTCAGTTGTTTTTTCACCACTTCGGATAGGTGAAAGGCAGAGTCTAGATCCTCCTGTCTTCTTGACCACTGTGAAAGAATGTTTCATTGCAATGGTTTTGATTCTGCCTTTGCCCAAGCCACTGCTGGGATTGCAGAAGTGAGGAGGCCCAGTAACCTCATAGCATCCCTGATTGAGCTTGGGTTTTTCTGCAGACTTGACACAGCTTTAAAAAATCCTTCTTTGTTTCTCTATTTAAAAAGAAAAAGAGACAGGGACTGTGATTCTACCCAAAGACCCAAGAATTCCAGACTCAATGAAGGAATCTAAATTTTTTAGGTTTAGGAGCCAACCGTGTTCTTTCAAAACCTTCATAGCAATCTTGAGATTATATCTTAGAAGTTGTTCTGATTGAGCTTTCAAGAACCAATCGTCCAGGTACGGAACAATCGAGATACCTTTCAGGCATAAAGCTGCTGGGTGCCAGGATTTTCGTAAATACCCGAGGAGCCGATTACAGGCCAAAGAGTAGAGCCTTGAATTGAAAATGGAGAATTCTTCGCCTTCCTGTCAAGACTGCAAATCTGAGGAACTTCCGGGAAGATTCTGATACCGGAACATGGAGGTAAGCATCTTTTAGATCTAACTTTGCCATGCAATCCCCTTTTTGTAAGATGTGTGTGACAGACAGAATATTCTCCATACGAAACCTTTGATAGGGTATGCAGGTGTTGACATGTTTGAGGTCTAGGAAAGGACGAAATGATCCGTCTGGTTTTCGAACCAGGAACAGGCGGGGAGTACACTCCCTGAAATTCCCATTGTTTGGGTACCTTCTCTACTACATCTTTCCTTAACAGGATAAGGGCTTCTGTTAGGAGTGTCTCTGATTTCTTTCTTGATGGTTATCTTGACAGTAGGAAGGATGGTTGTGGCATTCTGTAACTGTTCTTAGAATCCACCCATTTGATGTACTCTTTTCCCATTTGAGGGCGAAGAACCGAAAGCGTCGTCCTACTCTTTTGGTGTCCAAACTTTCTCTTTTTGTCCTGCCTGTTGGAATCCTGCCTAGACCACTGACTGCTGTTTTTACCATGTTTTTGAAATCTGCGAAAAACGCCCCTGATAACAAAAGGAATGCTGTCCTTTGAACTGATATCTTTTATATCTCTGGGGTCTTGATTCCAGAGATAGAGCTTTCTTTGTTTCCGACATTTGTCTAATAATGTCTTCCAAAGGAGTGCCAAAAAGTTTGTTCCTCTCAAGGCTGCCTTAGAAGCTGAATCAGCTGTCCATGTTACACAAGGCTGCCTTAGAAGCTGAATCAGCTGTCCATGTTCGTAGCCATAGCGCCACTGATGACAAACCCATAAGTCTTGCTGATAAACGAAGAATCTCATCAGAGGCATCCGAAAGAAATTTGTTAGATAATTTCAGGAGGAACATCAGCTGGGCAGGGTCGGTAACGGACTTTCCCATAAGAGACTCTTCCAGGGCTTGGAGCCAAATGCTCTGTGCCCTGAGAACCGCTGTACCTGCTATTTCGGCTCTGCACTGATTGCCTGCGGCATGGAAGATTCTTCAACACAAAGTTTCGGCTCATTTGTCCATTGGGTCTTTAAGTCCCGAGACCTCGCCAATGGGTATAGTGGTCTTCTTTGACAGCTGGGCTATCTGAATATCTACCTTGGGAAAATCCTCCCATTTCTCTTCAGACTGTAGTTTGAACAGAAGTTTAAAATGTTTTGAAATAAATGCACGTCTTTCAGGATTCTTCCATTCTCTATGAAGGAGATCCATAATCTTATGGGGCATCTGGAAACCTTTAACCTTACCCTTGGTAGGTTCTGGTTCTCGTACAGCTGTCGACACTTCTTTAATACATTTTTTAAGCTCTTCTGGTGGAAAACCCTCTTCCACACTTGAAGCTAGGATGGAAATATCAGAAGGTGATGAGGAAGAGCATTCTCCTGAAGAAATATAAGAAAGAGAAGGAGATCTATTTCTCCTACGTTTCGTAGGCTGCTTCTCTTGAATAGCCGTTTCTTTCTTTACAGCATCTTTAAAAGATTCAAATGTCTGGGACAAATTTTCCTGAAACCAGTACAGGAAGGATGACATATCAGTTGGCTTTTTCTAGCAATTCCGTAGAGGCACAGCACATTCCATGTTTGTGGCTTTTTTAGGAACAGATGCTGACATCTTGTCTTTATCTGCCTTATATGGAGATATAGGACTGGACATATCTGGGAAAAAAGAAAAACACCAGTAATTATATATAGGAGCATGCAATAGTGATAGGTTACAAAAGGAGAGTTTTAAGAGTTAAATCTCACCTCAGACCACCTTAGAACCGTGTAGGAGGGCTGGTGATACAGAGAACCAGGACTGTACACCCACTCTTGGAGTCAGAAAGGTCCTGCACAGCTTTATATGCCACCAATTTTTTTAATTTGGCGCCAAAAACGCAAACACCGTTTTGCGCATGTGCACTAGAGCGATTCGGCGCTTGGTGGAACGCACCGCCTCCGGGCGTGCGTTCCACCGCTGTGCACATGCATATTGCTCCATGATGGGAGGTCCGCCCGGGAACTCCCAGAGACGCCACAAATAGCGAGGTATCCGGTCACGTTCTGTAACACGAACCCGGAAGTACTGTTGCCGCTCAGTTCCTGCCCGGGGAGCTATCGGGCACTCACCTCTCCGGTCAGCAGCCTGTGCTGACCGCACCATTCTCCACCTGGACCTGTGGGGAACTTGTCTATCCTGTTGCCGGGACAAGAAGAACTGGAGTTGTACTCTGGCTCACAGGTTATATGGAGGCAGCAGGCAGAGCACAACAATTATCTTCAAAGAAGGGGGAGCTTCTTGTCCAAAACCAGAAGGAACATCCCACTTGTAAGTACTGCCACTATACGAGAGGAAAAATATAGCACCCTATATTTTGTGCCCCTCCCCCTTAGGGTGCAGAAGAAAACAAAAACAAAAAAACCTGCTGTCACTTACTGGATTCCAGCACCGATGTCTCTTGGCACTGGTTCATGCTCTTACTCTGCCATTAGCCCACAGGGGGACCTAATGAGCATACACCGAGCTTGCATTAGGACTTCCCTCATTGGAAAGCATTATACAATACTTTACTGTGGGGTTTCAGGTGATGTTGGATGTCCTCATGGATAGCATAAAGACATCCAGATTCAGTTAGGCAACCAAAAGACCCTGAAGAGTCGGACTTAACCCTAGCAGGTAATTACTGCAGTTCCTTTACTAAGGGACCCGGAACCTAGCACCCAGACCACTTCAATGAGCTGAAGTGGCCTTTGTGCCTTTAAGTATAATCATTTAAAAAAAAAAAAAAACGAAAACCATGTTACACCAATTTTCTCTCACATATATTTAGTCTACAGACCTCCCTGTTACCACGCTCCCCCATCCGGTTTCCTGGTATCTGCAGTCTAAAGCGGACATCCTGCACCATACCATCAATTGCTGCTTCAACTCTTTTAAATAGTTTTTTAATTAAATATTGAAAACTACTTTTACAGGTAATGGGTGGATTAAATTAGCGTAAACTTTACACTTGTTGGTAGTGCTGTATTGAGGCTAAATGTCAAAAAGGGTTACTAACACACAGCCCTAGTGAGTCATTTACCGTGGCTGACTAACATCGCTGGAGACACACAGCATTAGGATGAAGGGAAGAACCGGTTGTCGATTTAATAGTATATGGCAATGTGATCCTTAAAGCTCAATTCTTTATGGCGTGTTCTCAATCAGCGACTTCCATCGAAAAGCACAGCATGTGTCCAACAGTGAAGCAGCCACCTCTTCTCATGGAGCGTACATCGTTAAGTTAACCTGTAAGCAGTGGTTCTCAAACCAGTCCTTATGGCCCACCACCAATCCAGGATTTATGCATTTCCCTTTTTTATTCCAATGGAGATCCTGACAACACCTAGCCTGTTGCTAGGCCTTGAGGACTGGTTTGGGAACCACTACTTTAAAGTATAGCGGGAATGGAAAATGAATATGTTGAGTGCTGTAATGGGCAATGGGAAGAGAAGAGGAGCACATTTCATTGTTCTTTGGGGAAGGGGGAGGCAGTGTATACACTGAAAAGCCTGCAGGCATAGGCTATAAAAACCAAAACTACTACATTAATCTATAGGTGTTCTGGGGACTATAGTGTCCGTTTAAGATAAAACCATTTGTTATGGTTTTAAAAACAGAGAACGCCATACATGATGTACAGTTTAATTGCACATGCCACTCTTTAATAGAAACTCTATTCTCTGGACTATATGACTCACCTAGATGTTCCTTACCGTGACCATTGGGAAGAGGACGAACACTAAGGAAAACAGGAGCAGATGAATTGGTATCTAGTAGTTTGCAAACATGGCAGGAAAGCAACAACTTATAGATGCTGAAATAAAAAGCATCAGGAATAGCAACTACTGAATGTTGGACTTAATAAAATCCTCAAAAGCAAAACAATAATTACAATTTGCACCATCTATGGGGATGTACATATAAACACATAGCACTTGCTTGCAAACAGCTTAATACTGCTCATCTTGGGACATATTTTACAGATTATATACATAAGGATTGAGAGGGTGTCATAACAGCACCCTAATGAGCCCAGGACAGTTTTGTTTGCATACTATATACTACAGGTTGCATTGAGGATCTGACCTGAGATAGTTATCAGCATATGATTATACAAAGGACAAAGGAAGTTTCACTAGCCTAGTTTTAGCAAGGTCAGACCAAAACCATTGTACAGGGATTCAGAATAATTTGGCGCTTTATAAATAAAAATGCATGACGTACACCTTAAATATGACAGTTTAAATGGGTTTTTAGTACAATGATGAATAATTTCCCCTTCTATAAAGAGATTGTATATACTCCCTGATCATGATACACAGGTATTTGGCCCTTGCTGTGGGGAGCAGGGAGCAGAAACAAACGCAGGCAATGAAGTGGGCAGACTTGCTTGTAATTTCACGTCTATTCTTGTTCTGTAGCGAGCAGCAAGAGAAACGGTATAGTCTCATAATGAACCAGGAAGACCTGTTATTTCATGTTAATTCAAGAAACAATCAATAACATACATTTTTCCTTTACAGGGGATGCCTTGAAATATATGGACAGCTCTTCAAGTCAGTGACAAAAAAGGAATGACTGTTTACACAGCCTGGTCTCTACTACTGCATGATATGGATAATAGTAAGAGTGACTCATGCTATGGTTCTACAGGATTTATCTACGTATAAAAAAAAAGAGAGAGAAGGGATTGTAATGGTAGAATGAATGTTCACATGTAAAATTAGCACTGAGCTAAACTGCAAGACACAGTATCTGCAAAAGTAAATCCTATTTGTGCATAGATAGGTTGTTCTATTAGGTCACTGAATACCCAAGTAAAAGTGACACAGTAATCCAAACTTGTAACATCACACTTACCGAGGCCCTGGGATAAGTGGGCAATTTCTATTGCCAACAAGTGTCAGTGTAAGTAACCTGCGCCAATCTGTGGTCAAAGCTAAGTGAGTCAGAGCATCCCACAAACCCATTACACCATGTTATAATCACATGCGTTATAAAAAACAAGAATCAATCTGTTTATTTCATGTGAGGTGCTCACATACAGGAGGTGGGAAATTGAGAGTCAGATCTGCACCTTGAAAAAAAGGGCTACTACTGCCACCCAAGAACCACAGGCTTGTAAAGCACAACTACACAAGGAAGAATTCTATATTAGAAATAGGATTCACAAAGTTAAAAAAAAAAAGTGAAGAGAAACAAATTGTCCACATATCATGTACAAAAGTTGTGTTGTGCTGTTCCAGCGGGTAGAATGGGGAATGTTTGCATTGCAATGTGTCTGTTCCTGGATGTCCTTTAGGTATGAGGTGGAAATGGTAGACACAGTGGCACCAAACCTTAGAGGCAGAAACAAGCAGGCAGTTTCTCCCCCTCCTTGCTTTCTAAAAACGTCTTGTCAGCCGACACGTAGTTAAATGGACATTTTTATAAAATATTTATAAATAAAACAAAAGGAATTTCTTACTAAAAAAAGAACCAGTAAAAGCGAGATAAAATGGGGGGGGGACAGTAGGAGTAGAGGAAGAGCCAAAGCTTGTTTCATGAGAAACAGAAGTCAAACTCCAAATGCTGGATGCAGAAGACACACACTGGAGGAGATGTAAAGAACAGTTTCACCAGACGAAGCTGCATCTATGATCCCTGTCCTTCTGGGTCTACACTGCCCTCTGTATCTTCATCATTGTAAATATTCTCCGCCTGCAGTACAATGGGTGGCAAAAAAAAAAAGGGCAAAGGATGAGAGTTTGCATTAATTTGAGTACAATACTAAATTACCTTTACCTAGATGTGAAAACTAAGCTGCATTTAGAAATAGAAACGTGCAGCTCTTCTAGATATCCAGCACACAAAACATTTCAAGTCAGTATTTTTTACATGGGATATAACCAAGAATGCAATTGTGTAAAGCTAAAAACAGTGCTGTCAGTGTCTGGGGACTTTAAAGAATCTGCAAAAACTCCCAAAATTGACATTGCCACTAGGGGTCCAGTGGCTATGAGGTGGAACAGGGAAAGGAGAGTTCTATTTACATTAATCTGTCCCTTGTAGGTGCGTCAATCTTCCTCCTGGTGTGAGGTCACTGCTGTACTTTCACGCATGCACAAGTGTAAAGTATTAAAAAAAAAAGTGTCTCTGGAGGATACTGCAAGACCCACCATAGACAGAGTCAATTCCCTGCAGTCATCACAGATGACAGCTGGGTACTGACACTTCTATACAGCAGTAGCTCTGCCCAGTGTCTAGAAGTGCCAGGTGTACAAAATATACCTTGTCTCAGTCCCTCTCTTCACTGGGTTGAAATTTCAGTGAAATTCCAACACCTTCAAAACTAATATTTCTTAAAGATTCTATCTTCATTAAACTTTTTTTTTTTTAGTCAACCCCAGCATTGTTGGGATCCTGGTACCGGCTTTACTTAACGTTAACTACAAATTGCTAGTTGCTCAGAGTCTTCTTTCTAGTCACAACCATCTATTTTATAGTGGTGCCCAGAAATGCTACTTTGCCTGTAGCTTTGTGTGTGTGTCAAATCACACACATGCCCATTTCACCAGGCACATTATCAGTGATAGAATGGGCATCTGAAGACAGGACTGGATGGAGGCAAGTACTTGGATCAGTGAATCTGTAGTCAAAATCTCTTTACAGTGGAGCTTGACTACCGCTCCGACCTGGTCAACCTTCCAGTTATACATAAAAGAAAAGTAGGGTCTGTATGTATAAAAACTACAACATACCCATGCTTAAACTTCTATAAAAGTAAATGAACAAGTCGTGATCTGCTTTTATTTGAGAGAGAAGAAAACTAAGCTGTTTCGATAAGTGTAATTAGGATTGCTTGCACAAATCTGTATGGACAATACAGTCCTTTGATAGAATTAAATTTTGTGGATTAAGTCAGGAATGTGTTAACATGTAGGTTCTGCGAAACTGCAAATACTCATTAATTTTTTTAATAACAGGTGGGTCTGATTTGGCAATCAAATGGTCAATATTGATACACCTAGAAGAATGACTCAATTACACCACTTAGTCAAATTTTGACTAAGTCATGGGACCACATTTTGTGACTAACTGTGCGTATCACAAAATACTACTGCTCAGATTTAAAAAATTATAATCAATCCCTTTAGGCAAATACACTTTGAGAGGAGGGAGGAGGTTTCAAGATTTAGAACTCACCATTTGCCAAACTTGCATTATATTGTCTTCAGACACAGAACAGATAACCCAAGGTTCATTTGGATTCCACGAGAAGTCAGAAATCTTTGCTGTATGCCCCCCATGAATGAACTGACAAGAGAAGTTTTAAACATTAAAACATTTAGCCACAATCCAAAGATCAACTTAATATACCAATGCCTGAAAATCTTTACTCAGGATCCATTTACAGGAACAGGAACGTACAACATGAAATGCAAGTCATGTTTCTGACAGAGCCAGTTTTACCAAGGATATTATATATAAGATCTCTTTACAAAGTTTTGCTGGGGTATCTAGCAAGAATTCAGAATACCACAGCACACAAAGGTACTTACTAATAGTTCAGGTGGTCCATCTTCTGCATCCTCAGGGGACTGTTCTTCACCAATTTTACTAAGACAAAAATAAGTTCAAATGTAAATCCCATAGAACAATCAAGACAGATTCTGAAGAAAACCCCCATAGAAATGATCAAGAACTGGCTTCCAATACATGCACACACCAACCCCATCATATATCGTGATGCTACTGCTACTAAGCAGATTCTCTCATTACCAGACAAACAGAGCTGTCATAGTGCCATTACCTTAAATCCCAAACATTTAGCCTTCGGTCTGTTCCACTGGATGCCAAAATAGTCTCATTGTGGGGAGACCATTGGACCTGGAAAGAAAACGGCAAGATGTAGTCAAAAATACATTTATTTCCTACCACTTGTAAAGTCTCTTCAGACATATCCTTTTCTAGGCCACTTAAAGAATTTTCAAGGAAAATGCACAAGATACTGAAGATTATCTTTACTGTGGCTCTGTCACCTTCAAGAGTCTTTGCTTATCTTGCAAAAACTGCTGAAGGTGACAAAGCCTAGCTTGCAGTGGCTTGGCGTAAAAGCTGATGGTAGACATATGTACCAAAGGCTCTCATCAGCATCTACTAATGTTTTACCAACCAGGAGCCACGTCAATGTTACACTCTATGGAGGAGAATATTACAGGACCCTCCATGGGCCAACTCTTGCAATTTGGGAGATGCTGCTTTTTTTTTATCCACAGTCATCACCAGCAATGGTTACTGAAATCACCAAAACCTGACCGTGGTAGCTCTGCCTTTATTTAAGTTTTTATTGCTGAAAACTTTTTTATGAAATACTCAAAACTGACAGGGTGGTGAGACACTTTCATACAAGGTAGAGATGATTGTACCTGGAAAATTTCATCTTTGTGAGATTCAAATGAATGTAACTTGAGTTTGAGATTGCGCAGATCCCATAAAGCAACGGTCTGCAAAAAAAAAAAAGTTTACATACAAACAAAACTAAAACAGCCAGTTAGATGTATTATTGAAAGAAAATAACAAAAGTGCATATAAATAGATGAATCTAAAAAGTTTAAGAAAAAAAAAAAAAAAAGTGTAACTGGTTTGTAGCGCCACTGCTTAGATTAAAAAAAATACACACATACACATTCTGCTATCCCCAAAAAAATAGGTACAGAAGAATAAGCAAGTACGCATAATAAATATTTTGTTAATATCAGTTCTGCTGGGAAGCGGTTTGAATTTCCTGGAAATTATATAAAGTAATAAACGGTTATCCACTACTAATTCACCAGCCTGGCATCAAGGAAGGGAGGAGAAAAATCATTTTCTTCCTATGATCAATATGCAAAATCACCTTGCACTCCATCTTCCTTGCTACCATCTCCCCATGGTAACACAGAAAAACAGGTTAACATTGATATACTCTAGACCTCCAGTGTTAAGACACCAATCTCTTAAGCAAGCAAAAAATGAATTGCAGGCGTGAGTCCTTTGAGGTTGCATGACATTTGTGGAGACCAGGTATTTAAGCTGAGAAATGGAAACCCAAGTTATAAAATATACACAAGGGTGGCTCAATCATAAAGGCAATATTATTGTAAGCCAGGTGTACCCGAAAGGTAGACTACCTGCTGTATGACAACCACCCTGATGCTTTGCCACCATAAATAGAAAAAAAAAACAAAAAAAAACCCACACCCCACTGCTGTAAGACTTTGCTGGTGATTTTAAAAGGAAACTGTAGTACTAGGAAAACAACGTTGTTTTCATAGCACCCTATGGTGCACTGCTCCATCACACCACTAGAGGTGGAGTTAAAACCCTCCATTGTAATAATTGCAGTTTATCAAAAACTGCAAAAATTACAATTGCAGGGCTAAGGTGCCTGGGACAGTGCACCAAGACCACTTCAATGAGCGTAAGTGGTCTGGGTGCATATATTTTCCCTTTAAATAAATGAATACAAGGCTCAAAAGTAGTGAAACACTGACTCTAGCAATACAATGAGTTGCAGCCAACTAAGTTTACAAGTTAAGAGATCAAACAATAATTGTTGTGTTTTACATACATACACATCCCTCCCCCCACCCCCCTAGAGACAGGTAGAGGTAAGAGTGTACCTTGTCTGCTGACCCTGTGGCCAAGATGAACTCGCTGTAGGGGTTGAAAGAAAGGCAGTTCACTTCAGCTGTGTGAGCATCCACCGAGTGACTGGGTTTTGATGTGTTATTTGAACGTGTGTCCCAGCTACCGATGACATGCATGAGTTAGAATTTATAAACACTGGAAATGAAGAATGCTACAACATTATTCTTATTGCGGCTTATTAAAAAAAAAAGAGAAACACAAAGAAAGGAAGATGATCTTACACATTGCACTGATGGCACAGCAGCTAATAACAAGGAAATGGAAGTCTCCTGTACCCCCAAAAGAGAGGACCTACTTGGGGAACTGCATAAGCAATGGATATACGAGACTTGATATACATCCCTCTTTCCTCCTTCCACACACTACCTGAAAACATGCGAACTCTGGCACACATGGAGATCTGGTAACCCAGGAGGATTGTAGTTTCATGTGTTCTCCATGGTCCTAATCTTGAACCTACCTGCTTAAATGCCATGTTGGAACCAAACAGGGGTCGATACCCCATTACGTTACTATTAAACATAAAAAGAGCACTGCTGCTTGGCTGTGAGTATTCCGATGTACCAAAGATGCACCCCCCTCTTTCTTTCTGTACCCATTCCCTGTCTGTAGGCACCCAGACCACTTAAGCTAATTGAAATGTTCTGGGTGCGGTGTACGTTTTGCTCTAAGTCTGCCCTCTCTGGCTGTCTAGCAGCCAGTAGGGGCACTTCAAGATTTGTAACAGACTTTTGGTCCGTTATCTGACACTGAACGTCCTCACGGACCTCCAGCGTCAGATTTTCCCCATAGGAAAAGCATGCGCATTAGGTCTCTCCCGCCGGCTGGGAAGGAGCGTGGGCGGAGCCTGAACCAACACTGAGGACATCGGCGCTGGATTCAGGTAAGTGGTTTTAACCCTTTCAGCGACATGGGATGGAGGGCGCACGTCAGGATTCTCTAGTGCCAGGGAAACGGGTTTGTTTTCCTGGTAATGGAGAATCCCTTTAAGCAATCAAAATGTTTACAAGATTTTGATAAAGATCCAGGAGGCTCGAAACATTGATGAAAACATTTTGATTGCTTAATACACTATTTGTAAAAACTGAGAGTGCTCTTTTGTTCACCTTAGAGATATCTATATAGATATATTACACACATTTTTATTTATAACAGAGTAGTGATTTTGGTGCAAATATCCTGACCCTCAGTTTTCAAAACAAATATAGAAAAACTGTTTTGATTCAAACATTTTTGAAGTTTCAGAAACTGCATAGTGGGGATAAGTTTGGCCAGGTTATCACACTTATCCACTATAGCCATCTAATCTGTGGCTTAAATCTTGCAACCATATTTAGAGTAGATTGCCACTTTAAATGGAAACTATAACTTCAATTTTAGCAGAACCCTATGGCCAGCTAATAAATATACATACACATCTATTTTTTTACAATTCTGTATATTTCCGGCAGTATGGAACTGCTGGAGAAAATGTAAAACAAGATGGGAACACTCACATCATAAGCTTCTGATCATCTGCAACCGATCCAAAGAGAGATTCATGTAGTAAGTGCCAAGATACATCTTCCACTACTGCAGTGTGTCCAGTGAAGATAGTCTTCGCATCTACAACTTTGCCCTCCTTAGGAACTGCACTTATATCCCACAGGCAAATAGTCTGCAAGCAGACAGAAGAAAAAAAAAAAAAAAAAAAAATCAATCCAAAGGCAAACATGGTTCCAAATTACATTGTGTGTAGTGTCAAATCTAGCACTCACATGGTCATCTGACGCACTCAGCAGATTCCCACTGAGGTTAGGGTTCCAAGATAAGCCATAGCCTTCTTTTTGGTGGCCTCGGAGTCTGAGGTCTGGATTACACTCACCTGAGGGGTCTGAACAAAGCAGTGGAAATTATGTTACAGGGATTATGACTTTCTAATGAACATCACACGTGGAATTGTTTAAATGAAGATACACAAACTGACTCTGCAGATGGCACAAATCAACACATAAGAATAAAATAAAATGTGAAGAATTTTTCTTGTATTTATTTTCTGATGGCTTACAGAGAAACACATTTACTGGTGAGTGCCCAAGGTGTGCATCTACTAGCATCTATAACGAGCAGTGATCCCATTATAAAAGAATTTGTGGGGGTTATGAAAACAAAGAAAAATGTCAGATGGCTTAGGTGTTTCTTAACCACACTGTACAGAAGTAGACTAATTCAATATGGATCCCCCCACCCCCCTTATGAGAGAGAACAATGCCCGGTTAGTAGCCAGCAGTATGAGAGGGCACAATTTCCAAATACCAGAAAAGTGAGAGATCACAATACACGGGAGAAGAATGAGAGGCAGGTTTATACCATGAGCCACTGTCCCAGTGCAGTCACTCATATGAACCAGGGGAGAAATGTAATATAGGAGGGACAGGTCGGGGGGGGGACCATGGAGAGAAAGCATTTATAGGCTGTCAGCGTTCAGCCTCCTCCCGTCTCCATGGTGATAAGCCCAGGACGAGTCACTTCCGCTGAAGTCAACAGGGACACGTGGATCCAAGATGGCGACGGCTTTTGCAGTAAGTGTCTCTCCTGGCCCGGAGGGTGTGCATGGCTGGACAGGGAGATTGTGGGAAAGCACGGGGCTGGCGGGCCATGATGCTTGATAACAGAACCGGAAATCAGCATTCAGGGGCTGCCATCCCGGAAGTACAGGGGTCTTCCTCCCCTACTTGGGGATAAACTGAGCTTCATTATATAGTGTATATACAAAACAACACTACATGGCATCATACACTGTAATATATAGTAATAAATATACTATACTGTGTAAAGCACAATAAATATACTGTGTAATGCAGAATAATACTATGTAATATATAGTAATAAATATATATTACTATATGTTATACATTACACAGTATATTATATATCACACAGTAAACATAATACACTGTTATATGTGTGTGTATAAACAATAGAACACTACATGGCATCATACACTGTGTAATATAAAGTTAAAAAAAAACAAATCATTTTCGGTCTTCAGCCAAGGGCATCCTGATTTTTCGGTTTCAGCCCAGAATTTTCATTTTGGTGCATTCCTAGTTAGGAATACAAATCTGTATTCTTAACACTATAGAGACCTCTGGTTAGTGAAGGCAGGGGGAAAAAGGTGTGTCTATGGAGGCTTTAGTGATCTTTACAAAACATAAATAGACCCCAGAAGATGACAGAGCCACCTTAAGATTTATGGTAAAGAGAAAATTACATAATTCACTGCATTAGTTTTTATTAAAGAGACACTAGGCACCATAATTCCATGCATATTGCATGGTGGGATTTAACTAAAAGCGAAGAAGACAGGTTGTGCTTAATCTCATGGTGCTCTTTCCCCTATCACCCCTCACCATTACTTGCAGATTTACTTTGACCACAATCTATATAACTTTTTAAATTATTTATAGTGTTATTAAAATGGAAGTCACAACAGGACCACTTTGTAATCAGAAGTTTTGAGAATTTGGTTTGGTGATAATGGTCAGTGTGTTCCACACATGATTATTTGAATGGTGCAGATGCTTTTATTTCAAATTACTTACCTGGTTTGGATGGGTGTTTAGTGTAATCAAACACAAGGACATCACTGGAAGGAGTTTTAGTAGCAATGATGCATGGGTTCTGAGGCATATATCGTGCTCTGTTTACTTCACCTTCATGGTTAATTTTGATCTCAATTTCTATTTTTCCACTTACGGATCCAAACCCACCAAACTCTGAGAAAGAAAAGAAAAATGTAACTATAGCAGCTCGGTCACTAAAAATAAAGTTGCTTCAATATTGTTCCTTGTGTGTGAATTTGTTTTTTCCTGATGCTCTAATTCTCATAGAATACATAAAGAAATATAGGGACTATTTTTCCCACTATAGCAATGAAATTTGAAAAATTTGACAGTGAGCAGTGTTCAACCCCTTAAGGACCAAACTTCTGGAATAAAAGGGATTCATGACATGTCACGTGTCCTTAAGAGGTTAAAGGGACACTCCAGGAACCCAGACCACTTCTGCCCATTGGAGTGGTCTGGGTGCCAACTCCCACTACTCTTAACCCTACAAGTGTAATTATTGCAGTTTTTTTTTTTTTTTTTATAAACTGCAATAATTACCTTGCAGGGTTAACTCCATCTCTAGTGGCTGTCTACCAGACAGCCACTAGAGGGCACTTCCTGCATCATAGCACAGAAAACCTGTACTAGAGCGTCGCTGGACGTCCTCACGCTGTGCGAGGACGTCCAGCGTCGCTCAATTCCCCATAGGAAAGCATTGAAAAGCAAGGAAAGCATTGAAAAGCATTTGCCCTGCATGCGCATTAGGTCTCGCCGACCAATGGGCGGGATCAGTCTCACCCACCGGCTAACGTAATACAGAGGAGGAGCGGCGGCGGCAGAAGCAGCGACATGTCCCTCTGGTAAGTTACTGAAGAGGTTTTCACTAGTTCAGCAACCGGTGATTGGGGATGGGAGGGAGAGGGGACCTGCACTGGAGTTTCCCTTTAAAGGACCACTATAGGCACCCAAACCACTTCAGCTCAATGAAGTGGTCTGGGTGCCAGGTCCATCTAGGGTTAACCCTGCAGCTATAAACATAGTTGTTTCAGAGAAACGGCTATGTTTACATTAGGGTTAATCCAGCCTCTAAAAGCTGTCTCATTGACAGCCGCTAGAGGCGCTTCTCACTGAAAATCAAAGTGAGAAGATGCTGACGTCCATAGGAAAGCATTGAGAAAGGCTTTCCTATGGACTGATTGAATGCGCGTGCAGCCCTTGCCGCGCATGCAGTGTTGACGTCGGAAGAGGGAGGAGATTTCCCCAGTGCCGAGGGAGCCCGGCGCTGGAGAAAGGTAAGTGATTAACCCCTTCCTCCCCCTTCAGTCCGACAGGAGTGGGACCACCTAAAGACCCTATAGTGCCAGGAAAAAGAGTTTGTTTCCCTGGCACTACAGTGGTCCTTTAGGGTTCTGATTCAGTTGCCAATCAAATCTACCCACAATCAAAAAAACATAAAAAAATGCCACAAAAGGGCAAAATTGCAGACCTTATGTCAGAGAGGCACAAAACGTCTGCGACCAGGAAAGTGCAGGGGTATAATCGTTATGGTACACAGGGTATAAAGTGGTAGGATTTTAGTACCCCAAGCATTTTACAATTGGTTTGCTTTCTTATCTGATTTTGCAGGACCCAGGCCTCAGATGTAGGTAGGCTTACAACATCCTGCTTCTGCAGAGCTGCATGTCAATCCTGCTGCTCAATCACTGGTTGAGAGCCTCAGCTCACTTGTCAGCCAATGAATGAGTCCAGGAAACATAAGGCACTGCACTCAAGTTCTGCCTTTCTGAGCTGCCCCATCACCAGAGTTGCTGATTAACAGCAAAAAATAGAAGAAAATCGGGCAACACCTATTTAAGACAAATGTAACCCCACAAAAATACCTAGGTGGCCTTAAGGGAACACCGTTGCGTTAGGAATACTTATATGAATACGTATCTCAGGAAAACTCTACACCTTCGGCGCATATGCGACACCTGTTGCAATGAGCCCAAGATTCTGCCAAAGAACGTTAGAATACAATGATTCTATATGGCAGACTACAATGTCACTGCAATTCACAACACGAGAACCAGGAAGTAAGATTCCTGGCTCATATACCCAGAGGGCTTAGAGGCATGCCTTGAGACCAGGCTTCTAAGCCCTCTAATTAGTTACCTAGAGGGCTGTGGGGGATAGGAGAGGGGTACAGGACTGCAGGTACTATGACAACTCCCTTAATATGAGCTTTTAAGAGTGCCTACAGTGTTCCTTTCATCGTGTATATGATTTTTTTGCTATTACTAGCCAATGAATAAGTCTTTGTATCAAACTTAGCACAGAGCTGACATTAGCTAGCTGAGGATACCCTGTGATGAAACAATGCACATAGACTCCAGGCACCATGACCACTTCAAATCACTGAAGTGGTCATCATGCCTTGAGTAATCCTTTACAGAATTAAAGCATTTAAGAATTAGAGCTATATTTAGATATGTTAACCAAAAACATGAGGTGTCTGAGGTTAAGCCTAGAAGCGAATACCTGCTTTTAAAGTCATAGTGAGTGCTGAAGGAGAGGGGGGCAGGATTGGAACAATTTGGCACATTGAAAACCTTATATCAAAAGAATCTCACCTCCTTTCTCACTATCATAGTGAGAAGCATCAAATTGAGCATCGTCATTAGGAAGTTGCACACTAGCAATCACAAGGTGATTTTGTTCATCAGATGTGTGTGTACCAAGAACAAGGCGATGGATACTAAAATCCTTCCCTTCAGGCCTTTATAAAAGAAAAAAATATATTTGTAACCAAATAAGGTAACAGAAGAGCATAAGAGAATGCTTTTATAGGCAAAAAGTAATGATAATAACTATCCTTGTAATACTGCACTTGTTAAATTTCTAAATTCCTAAACAGTTTGATTGCTTACAATGGAGGAGGGGGGCACAAGAGCACTACTAGTACCATTATCACAGCATAATGCTGTAGTGGTTATGGTATGTATAGTGTCCCACACAAGAGATGCTGTAGGCTTTAGCAGACAAACAAGCAGAAATAAAGTCTAAATTGAACACAGTGCAATAAGGGAAAAGCAGCACAGCCAGAGGAGATGCGGCGCTAGGGATATATAGATATAGATATATATATCTCCATCCAAGCACCATAATCGTTAAAACTCCCTATAGTAGATTGACAGGATTGCTTAAAGGGATTCTACAGTGCCAGGAAAACATTTGTTTTCCTGGCACTGCAGGACCCTCTAGTGCCCCTCTACCTCCCACCCCCCCATACCAAGTTGCTGAAGGAGTTAAAACAACTTCAGTGACTTACAGGAGTCCATCAACAATGTCCCTCGGTGCTGGGTCAGGCTCCGTCTACGCTCCTCCCCATAATGACATTATGCGCAGCAATGGCCACGCACACGAATTAGACCTCTCCATAGGAAAGCACTATACAATGCTTTCCTATGGGGATTTCGGAGACACTGGGGGTCCTCACGTAGTGTGAGGACGTCCAGCGTCGTTTTAAAACACTTCATGTTCAATGAACACGGACATCTCCTTTAGTGGCTGTCTAGTAGACAGCCACTAGAGGAGGACTTAACCCTGCAATGTAAATATTGCAGTTTAAGAAAACTGCAATAATTACACTTGCAGGGTTAAGGGTAGTGGGAGTTGGCACCCAGACCACTCCAATTGGCAGAAGTGGTCTGGGTGCCTGGAGTATCCCTTTAACAAACAGTCACATAAAAGATGCAACTTACTTACACAGTCCTACTTGGCTAATCACATAGTGACATCTGGAAGTTTAAGGGACACTCAAGTGCACAAATACAAAATAAGCAGAAATTACTGTTTAGTAGATATACTGCAATGGAAAAATGCATACATGTTTTCTTTTGAGAAATATCTAAAAACCTAAATTTTTCGTGTCTGCTGCCTTTGCAAGCCCTCACCTTTTAACTCCGTCTAGACTTTCTATGACTGTTCAATCAAAGACATTCCAATGCAGCTCAATGAGAAGAATTTCTAAGAAGTTCTGAGCAATTGCCGCCTCTTGACTTGAGCTCCACTGAGCTAACCAAAACAGGAAGTAACAAGACCTCTTGCCTGCTTGAAAGCCAGATAGTGTAACCATTTTAATTCATAAAACTGACAATTTCTATTGAACTCTGCACTTTTTGCAAAGCTAAAGAACAGGACACACACTTAACACAAAGCTTTTCAGCAAGCTAAAGTGCTTTAGGTGTCTGGAGAGTCACTTTATAGTAACAGGAATGACCAGACAACAGTACATTGTAAGGAGGGAAACATGTTTTGAATGGTTTGACTTGTTACTATGGGTTCAGAAGGCCCCACTCAACTATTTTCCTATAGCCAGAAGTTCCTAAACTAGAAATTATGTGAGCTTTCCTGAGACAAGTCCAGCAATCCAGGACAAAGCTCATTGACTGAGTCTCAGCTGAACACTCCAAGCCAAAAAAAAACACAGAACTTCGTAGATAGATGCTATAGTTTGAGATTCCTGCTGCCAGTGCATCAGAGCCACTGCTGATTACAGAAAACTGAAGCAAAGGCTTTGGAGCATTGACAGGATTGCTTAACCAACAGTCACATAAGAGATGTGACTTCCTTACACGGTCCTACTCACCGAGTGACATCTGGAAGCCATTGAGCAGTAAGACTAGGCCACTCCAACGCATGGGTCATTACCAGGTCATAAAGAAACGGCGTGTTCTTCTTCCAAATTTTGTATTCTTCATTTATAACACGTTCCTCCACTGCATCATCGAATGCAGCTAAAAAAAGTAGAAACAAAACAGGAAGTACTGTTTCAAAGTCACATACCCATACTTTCACTTATGCTTAACTTAGTGGAGACTTTTGGGGCAAAAGCGTGTAATAACTTTACTAATATACATGGTAAAAAAAAACAAAAAAAAAAAAAAAACCACCACAACCATAAAAAGAAAGTATGCATATTATCACCATTATAAATAGTATACATAAATACATCAACTTTCAAACCTATATTAAAACTTGGAAGTCAGATATGTGAACTTGACGTCTGAGACCCATAGTTAGACCCGATATCCCTCCACTCCTGCACTGTGTCTGTGAGCATCTCTAGGGTAACCAGCACTCAGGGGAGTGTGGCTCAGAGAGCATGCTGGGGGGGAAGTTGAGCGCCCACTCACCCTCCTTGTCTGCCATGGCACCCGAGGTCTCCCGGTGTCTAATGGTGATACCGTATGGTTCTGACCCCTGGACACCCAAGGTTCCGTCTCTAGTGACACTGGTTATATCGGGCTGTTCCGCCGCAGGTTTCTCCTCCCACCGGTTCCCGGTATGACGGCCTGCTCTCCAGCTATTGTTTCCCGCCTCCCCCGTGTCTCGGCGCTGTGCACCTTCGCGCCAACCTCAACCAATCGGAATTATAAGAGCGGCTGACCCGTCGGCCAATGTACGAGGCATGCATCAAGGCTGGGCGTCACTCCGCAGCGCAGAGCTCCAAACACTAGAGCACACACCGCGCGAGCCATTTTGGAGAAGGCCGATAGAACTCCGCGCAAATGGCGGACTCGACGTAAAACGTCATGGATTATATAGAGCGCAGGCAGGAGAGCGTGTAACAGGACTCTACGGCTTTAGAACTCTGACCTACTGGGAGTCCATCATTCCACAGAGAGAGGAAGGAGGGAGGGAGGGAGGGGGGTGGGTGATAGTCACGTGGATCGCGGTCACTATGGCAACAGGGAGGTAACCAGTCATCTTAAGTCATGTGCTTCAACCAATAAAAGCATGTGCATGAGTGATCCACACACATAGACATAGGTTTTCTGTGTCTATGCCTACACACACATAACAGAATAGGAATTAGAAATCAGTATGTATAAAGTCTTACTTGTAAAGCTGTATTTTATCATTCCCAGTTACACAACAGCCCTTTAAACATGTTATTGAAACATGTATTAACACAACCTGTGTTAGTCATAATTCGCACGTCCTTGGCACATCGCATATTTTATCACCTTTCTGTCTTGTCCATTATGCAAAAAGTTTAGTTTAGTCTAGACTGCAAGCTGAGCAGGGTGCTCTTCAACCTATCGGTCCTGTAAATTTTTGTAACGGTCTCATTTATTGTTAAATCTCCCCCTCTTATAATATTGTAAAGTGCTACGAATTATGTTAGCGCTATATAAATACTGATAATAACCAGCTCTGGTACATATTTCTTGCTTATTATATGTTTAATGTTATTATGGTCTTCTCTATGTGTTGTCTGATCTTTCACCCCTCCCTTCTTTTGGTGTCTACCTTAGTGTTTGCTTTGCTTGAATAACCCAAAGCATGTCAATAGATGTATCTCCCCCAATTCCTTATGCCTATCTGACCCTAACTTGCAAGCAACATAGTTACCCTCCCACCCCAAGCTCATTTCCTCATTATAGATACAGCTGTTCCTCGTTTTGTAACCTACCTGTTTTACGATGGCTCGCACTTACAACCAGCTCTCTCGTGGGGTGGTAAGTGCGAGCCGTCATGGGAATTAGAGGGATTCCCTGATCTGGTGCGTTCGTCTATGTTCGGGGACATTTCCCCTAGCATAGATTAGAGGGATTCCCAGCTCTTCTGCATTCATCTATGTTCGGGGAAATGTCCCTGAACACAGACATGCGCACCAGAGCAGGGAATCCTTTAACCCCTCACTTTCCGACCAATTCGTTTTACGACTGGGTCGCAGGAATGGAACCCGGTCAGTAAGTGAGGAGTACCTGTAGTCTCCCACAAGACTTTTATCTTGCTGAAATTACAAGTGCAAACGCTAATCACCACATCCTTACAATCCATTCCAACTCTCCCTACTACTACTTATATATTACAATTCATATATACTTTTATTTTTTTAGTTTACTGAATTTCATCTACACACCTAATACCACTAACATAAATCCAAATATGATATTCTTGACAACCCTTTTCTCACTCCAAACATGTTCACATAACTACTCCCATACATATATATCTCAAACTGGAAATCAAATTCTTATACACCATAGCCTGCCCTGTTGCTGTAACGTATCTGCTGAGTGCTGGTGGAGAGTATTAAAATACAGCCCTCCTACCCCCAACCCACAAAGTTATAAATTCTCCCAATCACTATACTGCCAAACAAAAATTATGTTCAAATTCCTATTCCTTATGTTACTTGCCCTTGCAAATGATGTAGAGTCTAACCTTGGTCACCCAGGTGATTCCAGTTCTAGTCTCCCCACTAAAATGGCCTTTCCTTTGTGCACTGCACCATCCGCATCTTGCTCCCTAAACTGGATGCACTACAAGCTTGGTGTTCCTATAACAAACCAAAAATCATTGTGCTCTCCAAGTCATGTTTAACAATAAAAAATACCTGACTCTACTATTGCAATACATTCAGGTATTCATGCTTTCGAAATGACAGAGCAAAGAGAGGAGGAGGCATTGTTATTTATGTTGACAAGTCCATAAAGTTCATCCCTTTAAAAAAAAAACAAAAAAAAAAAAACTATAGCTCCCCTACCACCTTTGATTTCCTTTCTGGTACAATCGAGATCTAATTCAGTAAACCGATCATTGTTGCTGGAATCTACCGCCCACCCAGCTCTCCAGTGCATTCCCTTTATGACATAACCCAACTCCTTAGTGAAAGCGTAGCTGAAAACCCAAAACAGTGAACTGTTGGTTTTTGGAAATTTTAATATTGATTGGCTGAATTCTAAAAATAATAAAACCATGTTAGCTGTTTAAGACTTTGCAACTAACACTATTTTGTCCCAGTGTAGTGATAGTTGGGAAGGACCCAGTCAGACAGTACATAGAAAACAGATCAAATAAATTACATATTATATATAAAGACTGTACATAGAAGATACCAAACCAACTCATTATTCTATTATAGGAAATTACAGCATATTATCCAAAAGTCAAGTACAATTATAACAATATAATACAATTATTTATAATACACAAATATCCACAGAATACCTAGCTACTAAACGTTCAAGATAACATTAACAAGTGTAAACTATCCATAAGTCATGTCATTAGATTAAATAATTATGCAGTATAAAGTGAAAATATTTTTCCTTAAGCTATCATACAATGTACATAATAAAAAATATCATGCGTCAAGCACATGAAAGCCACTGTATATAATTCATATATTTTTATACTACATTGACACTAGAGTTCAACTGCATTATCCTGCGGGTCATCAATGACTACACTGGGTGAATTTTAATAAATATTGTTGCACTTTATTTTGGTGTTTTTTTCTTTATATGCTTAGTTTACATGCTTACTTATGGTAGTGGGTATTATAGAATTGTCTGAATGCTAGGTGAATGGTTACTCAGTGTGCCGGATGACTTGTAATTTTATATGGTTACCATATCATTTTTTTCCCCCTTGTCCTTTAGTAGTTTACTCTATAAATATGTGAGCTTCCATGGATTGCAGGGTGCAGGCGTAAGGTTGCCTTATACTATCGCATCTGATACTTGTAGGACGCAGGCGTGGTGTTACTTAGTATCCTTTTGGATACGGATGACGCGAGTGTGGTCAGCTGTTTTTGCCGGATTTCACGTAATTCGGCACATGTGCAAATTCGATAAGGAGCTAGTGTGTTAGTGGAAGCTTCCAGTTTTCAAGAAGGCGCGGAAGTTGGGATTTATTGAAGTTAAGATTCTTCTTTGTTGTGTTCCATCTATTACTGCAACTATATGGGAAGTTATATAAGTATTTTAGGCATCTTTACTATTGAATTATACACAGATACCAGAAGTGATGTCACTTTTGGGGTCGGTGAAGTTTGATTGCTGATGACCATCAGCTGTTCTGGGGAGTTAAAAGCAGACACAGGTATGCAGTAATACAAACACCCTTGAAAAAGGCAGCCAGTTGGTGCCGAAACGTGTGGGGGAGGGGGTGGCGTCTAGTGTTTCTGTCATATTAGGCTTGTTGAAGTTAATTACTTTACAGTTTACTATTTGCCTTTTTTTTTTGTTACTTTGTTTATTTGCTTTATGTATGCAAACATTTTGATGTTTAAATAAAGGATTTATATATTTCTTAAGTGGTAGTTATAGTGTGCATTCTCTATCATTATATATAATAGATTTGTTGGGACACATGAGGGAGTGCCTGAGAGGATTTGCATCGCGATTCTATCCTTTTTATGTTGTCTCTTTGTGTGTTGTTGTTATTATAGTATTATATCTAACATACAAACATTAACACAGTCACATACACAGAATCACACATGGTCGCAACCTAAATAATGAGACGATTATACAGTCACATACATATACATACACACAGGAGCAGCACATATTCATATACACAAACGGTCACATGCACAGTTAGATTGACACAGCCACATATATTATGTAACATATAGTTACAAACGCCGACACACACTGTCAGGGGCACACAGCCATAAACAGAGTTACAGGAACGCACACAGTGTGTTAGTTTGGTTAGAAACCTTCTGAGAAAGTAGTGATCAGATCACTAAATCCTCAGCTCTGCCATGGACTTATTTTTATGACAGAAAAAAACAAACCACCAATCGCTTGGGAAATGGTCAATGAACAGACACGCAGCATGTATGCTTCAGAAATATTCTGCTAGTTTAATAATTGAACAAATTTTTTTTTACAGAGAAGGTGTGACCAGGCAGATCACAGGCACACCAGTAAAAATAATAATACTTATCAATACATTTATTATGCCTTGTGAAAGAGAGCTGTCTTGGTGCATGAACCAATAGAAAGAGAATATGTGATGTAGAAATGCATATCAGGCCATGCTCTCATTACGTCAGGTAATACTAAGACAGAATAAAACTTATGTGCGTATTTGCTAAGAAAAGGTGGAACATTCTAAGAAACAGAGCTTTGGAAGGCACAAGATAGAGTTGTACATTAACCCTTTAAGTGATAGGATGTTAGTCAGTCTCACATTAACTGTTTCAGGGGTGGAGTGTTAGTTTATCTCATATTAATCCTTGTACACCGTTACAGTCACACAGTTACAAACATAGTAATTGTTCCACGGACACATAGTTTATACCTTCAAGGGGGCAAAGCCACTGCCCACCTTCATCTGGTGCCCAGGGGACATGCAACACAAGTCCCCCTAGAATAGTAGTAACAAGAAATATCTGCAGATTTACGTGGTCTACTTCTATATGTATTTAAGGGCTACTTAAGATTATACTTCTGTATATTGTATATATGTCCTATATCGCTGGCTTCGGGTCTTTCTTCTCTCCTCCCCCTTGACAGGGGAGACCTAATGTGCATATGCGACACATAGGATTGTGCATAATACTTTCCTATGGGGTTTTGGGTGACGCTGGATGTCCCCATGCATAGCGTGAGGACGTCCAGAGTCAGTTAGGCGACAAAAAGTCACCGAACAGCCCGGAAGTTTCTCTAGTGGCGGTCTGTTAGACAGCCACTATAGGTGGAGTTAACCCTAGCAGGTAATTATTGCAGTTTCTTAAAAAACTGCAATAATTACCTGCTCAGAGTAAAGGGATATTAGATGGTGCAATCAGACCACTTCAATGAGCTGAAGTTGGATGGGTGCCTATAGTGTCCCTTTAAGATTTAAAGATAAGATGATGGGTTTCTTGTGTCTATTGGCCAAAGTAGAAACTATCAAAATAGTCTGAAAAACAACAATTTGGCTAGTCTAGCCTAACAATAGCATTCTCCTTTACAATTATTATTTTGCATGCGGTCAGTAGGACGGCCACTTTAAGCCTGCATTGTTTTACATTGTAGGGGTAAACCCATAGGGCAACTGCACCCAGAGCACTTCAGTGGGAGTGTTCTTTTATTTGCATGAAAATATGCAAATCATACAAAAATGATTGAGTTTAGATCAGCATTGCTTGTCAAGAGGGACCTTGCATTTCAGGTTTCCCTCACCAAGTCTAGAGATTTCTCTGCTGAGAAAACACAATAGGGCACCTTTTCCTGGGGTTGTTGGAGCCTTGGGGGGGGATGGGGCTTGTTAATGAATAAATCAAGAACAATTTCTTACCTGTTCATATGTTCGTAACAAAGTCCTTGAATTTATTATATACTTTATTATCCAAGTGTAATGCTAGTAATAAACTAGTATTACTATTATTATATTTAGTCATGTATTCATCACAAATGTATTTGTGGCATAATTATTGCATAACTACATTAAAAAAAGATGATGAAACTTAAAAATCAACTCTGCTCAACGTCTCCATGCCCTCTGCTGAAACTGCTGCTATGAGCAAAACTTTCCAATTTCAATTGTCAGAGAGGTCCGTGAGATACCTGGGTGTCTGGATTCTGCCCAGCTATATGCAACGAACTTCACGCCCCTATTGACCACGATACGGAAGAACCTGGTGGAATGGACATTATATCTCCTGGTTGGGATGTATTGTTGTGGTGAAAATTTATATCTTCCCGCGAGTCCTCTACCTGTTTCAAATGCTCCCTATCCGGATCCCCACTGCATACTTCACATCGCTCCGATCATTAATGATAACTTACATTTGGGGCTCTCGACGGCCTCAGCTGCGATACAAGTGCTGACAAATCCAAAGAGAGAAGGGGGGTTGGCAGTTCCAGACTTCCTTTTGTATTAACATGCAACCCACCTGCAGATAATAATAGAGTGGGCCAAGGACGGAGTGGTTACGTTATGGAAAGATGTGGAGCGGACCCAGACAGGCAGGTCCTTGATGGCACTGATATGGATGAACCCCAAGGCAAGTAGGATAAAATCAGGCCAACAGCCATGTGTTAAGGCCACTATGGAGATATGGCATAGGACAGCACCCAGACTGGGCCTCTCATTGTTCCCTTCCTCATTATACCCTATCACAAACAACCCTGACGTGCACCCGGGGATGGAGGGTAGACCATATGCACCCTTCTTGCCATACGACTAGGTCCAAGTTCGCCATATGTTTAAAGGACGTGAGCTCAAGACACTGGGAGACTTACTAGGGGGCACCTCAGGTACCTTCTTACATACACTCAAATACAAAGTTATACAAATTCCCCAGACAAATCCCCCAACGTCCTGACATGACTAGGACACTCACATCCTTTGAGTGAAAGAGTGTTGACCCCGACCCACAACCGCATGCCGTATCCCTTCTATATAATTTACTACTTACACAACTTAACCTCCCAGCTCCTGGGCGAAACCTTCACCACACACCAGTGGGGGAAGAGCTCTGATTTGGTACACCATTGCACATTAGCAAGCAAAACACAGGAAACGGCATACAAGGTTATCACACTGTGGTACAGGACTCCTCACCTCCTCCAGAGCATAAATCCTGCTCTGGATGGCCACTGCTGGCGATGCCAAGCCACATTAGGTACTTTCTTACACATCTGGTGTGACTGCCCTAAAATCAAACCCTTCGGTGATTAATACCATCCCTACAGAAGTTTTCCGACAACCCCAGCCCTTCCGACCGGATTATTTTCTCTTGCACCATGCCACCACCCCCCCGATAGCTAGATATAAGAAACCAATGTCCATTCGTATTCTAAATATGGCTAAGTAGTTCCCCCTCTACTGGAACCAGGAGACACCCCCCACGGATGCGGTGGTTCGAAAAATGGAGGACCGAAGACGGCTCAAAGAACTGACATTTATGGCCCAAGGACGTACCCAATCTTACGCAGACATCTGGACTCACTGGCTGATGGTCGCATATCACGCTGACTTTCGGGTCTTGCTGGCAGATGGGACGAGTGGCCCGGTGGGATGAGGGGTCTTGGGCTATGGGCCATACGTACTCCCTGTCTGGGGGGTCAGTGGAACTGACCTTTCTAACCTAGCATCCCAACTCCCACTTCTGTAGGATGCTCAAACCAGGAAAGAAGTAAGGGACACCACTGACACAGGCTACTCTTAGGGTTAGGGAATTAGCCGGACAGACTACTGGACAGATTGTTACATCTCTGAAAGCTAGGCTCCCTGGAACATGGCACTACTATAGATTATATAAGAACGCTTCACATGTATGATACGCTATGTAACTGGATCGCGGACTTTGAGTCCCTATTCATCTCCATATTCATTGTTCCATTCAGCCCTGCGTGGCTGTGAGCCTCTATATGCAAAAAATATTTTACAGTTTGACTGTTTACCTCTGTTTACTCTGCACTTGTTTTACTTCGATCATAGTGACCAATAAAAAACTAATTTAAAAAAAATAAAAAATGAGTAAACAGTTTCACAGTGAAAATCTTGCATGTTGTCTGAAGAGCATGCAATAATTTTCATGATATTTTTCTAATTTCTTCGTTTTGGGGCTTAACATGAATGGAACATTTTCAGTGGTATTGGATGAGGGGAGTAGCCAGAGAGTGGCACTGTGAAGATTTTTCGCACAGGACGCCCGAAGGTCTCAGGCCAGCCTTGCTGGCTAGAGCTGCAGGATAATGTAGGGCAGGGGTAGGCAACCTGCCACACTCTAGATGTTGTAGACTAGATCTCCCCTGATATGTTGCCAGCACTATGGCTGCAAGAACATTATGGCAGATGTAGTCCAAAACATACAGAGTGCCTAACCCTGCTGTAGGGGCATGACGTACATATTAGGCCTGCTCTATTAAAGCAGACCTGTCCCTTATTTTCTTTCACAAATACGGTATCAACTTTATTTTTTCTGTTAACATTGAAATTAGAATGGATAAACATTTTGGTTTTACAAGAAAAAAAAAGAAAATCCTTGAAATTACACAATTCTCCTAAAGTGAATTAGGAATGCTCAGAAAGCTTTCTTCTTTCTTCAAACTGTTTTGACACTGCCAGGGAAAGAGCCTCGAGGAACCTCTCAATGGTAACTGTAGGAGATTGAATATAAAGTGCATGTGCCAGAAAAGGTAGCTTTCTAAGAACTCTTCCGCTGAGCCCCTCACTTTTCCTGGAAATGTCATTCAATAAAAGACTTAGTTTTGATACATTATTGTCAGCATAGTCAATCATTTCTAGATCTCGTAAAGTTAGTAGCTGTTGTCTTGGATATATTATCTGACACTTCATAAGTTCTTCTAAACAGCTCATGTAAATGTTAAATATAGCAGGAGAAGAAGGTACTCCAATGTATAACTTTAGATCAGCTCTATCCACAAATGCCACATCTATTTTTTCAGTAATATTTGACGTTGTCAAGATAACTACATTGGTGTACCTTTTTATCCAATCTATTTGAGTTAACACCGCATTTACTACTCGAATGGCATCAGATGGTTCCGTTCCTGCTTGAGAAGCCTTTCTTGCAGCAGTAAGACTTTCAACCTCATCAATCAACACAAACACAAGAGATTCTTGGTCATAGATCAGTTCATGAATCTTCTGGAACATCTTTGTTACTAGCTTTCCACTCTCAGAAAACCACTTGGAGAAAAGGCTGTGGCTGTTTATCTCAATCAGTTGACCATATTTGTACCTATGTGATAGTCTGATCGTCAGTTTTTGTGCTAGTGCTTTACACAATGAAGTTTTACCCGTTCCAGGAGGACCATGCAAGAGTACAACTCTGTTCCAGGAAATCAAATTGCTATCAACATTTTTGTCGGAAAACAGCAGTGTTGTTGTAACATAGTCTAAAAGATTGGATTTGATGTCACCATCGTATATTAAACTTTCCCAAAGACCATGAAAATCCGCTGAAGGAAGGTGCCAATTGTTAGCAGCTACAAGATCGTCATTTTCCTCTTCTAGATTTTCTGCATTTGGGCCATGTTCACTTAAATGAAAAACACTCACAAGCAAATTGCACTTTCTTAGGTCAATGGGCTGTCTGCCTTTAAATTTCAACTCTGTATCAACAACAGCCACAGAAATTACATTTCTTGTTAAAAAGGCGTCATCAAATTCTGTCCAGGTATAATCGCCAAAAACAATTGTTTGTCTGTTTAACAATTCTATGACATGACTTTGTACATCCTCACTCTTTACAGAACTGTTTGATTTTTGAAGCACTTCTACATGAACTTGAAGAAAATCGTAAGAATAAGGAACATTCTGTTTGAGTTTAATAGTGGCTTCATCCATGATTTCCTTCTACAATATCATAAATCGTCGCAACGACTTTTCAAACCAGAATTATAGTCTATCCCTTATTTTCGTGTTGGCGTTTTTCTTTTTTTATCTGCAACAACTGACAAAAATGAACATGCTTAAAATAGTGATATCGGTTATTGAGTGGAATAAATAGACATTACAGAGTTTTATAGGGTGTCCAACAAGTAGATATAAAAGGAAACTGGCCTAGTCAGGAGTTTCACATATCATGGGAAAAAACAAGTGTATGGCCCTTTAAGACAAAATAATGAAATCGTAATCAGGATCTTAATCAATATTTATCCCCCTAAAAGTTGTTAAATATGAAAATGTAGGTACTTAAATCCATAACCATATAAGATATAACAAAGTAAAGAGTGCTGTAAATGCAATGCAACAAGAGGCAAGTTCAACAAGAGTGTGAAACAAAATAACTATATACCTAAAATCACTTCAAGGGATCCTATAGTGCCAGGAAAACAAAGTTTGGAATGTAAACAGTGCAAAAGAGTCACAGCTCCCAGACCACATCAATTAGCTGAAGTGGTCTGGGTGCCTATAATGTCCCTTTAAATAGCAAGACAATAGTGAATTTGAATTAATTTTTTTTAATCATTCATCTTGTATTTAAGTGGAACACTATAGACCTGTTCTCTGCTGGTTCTACTTTTATGCCATTTACTGTCACCGCACACATTGTTATAACTGTAGATGTAGACACATACACAATGTGCAGAGTTAGGGACATCCAGTGGGCAAACCAGTTGTGACATTCAGTAACTCCTTGATTCGTGGACAGTACCATGAAAATACTATTACCCTCCACTGACTTTTAATGACCAACATTATAAGCAGAAAAATATAACATCCTGCTTTTTTTTTTTTATATCATTGAATGGCACCTACTTACAGTAAGATATTGTGCATAATGCAGCTCTCTGGACAGCAAAACAACTCAGTGTCTTGTCAATTGTTTTGTGCAGCCTTTGAATAAGAACATCATTTTTACAAGCCAGACTTTAAAGTTCAGAGACTATATGTGGGGCCATGCCAGTCTCAAAGCATGCAATTTATACACTTCTTAATCAGCTATAACAGAGCTAATTAAAAAGCATGATTCCCACTTGTGTGCAAGCGCAGTTTGTCCAGTAAAAGGCTTCTCATTTAGAAGCGTTGCAGTGTCTAGCAAAGGCAAAAAGTGTATGAGGGACAAAAAAAATGTTTAAAGTAGCTGCAGAAACTAGTTCTGCAGCAAATGTAATATAGATTTTCCATAATCCTCCCAAATATGCAAAAATTACTAAATGCATGTATATTGGGAAAAGTTTTTTTTTTTTTTTTAATGGTGTATTCCCATGGTTTAAGGCCATTTCTCTGATAGTAACCACAGTAAAGCTTGTCAATAACTCAACTGATTGGATTGGATTCTGTTACTGAGAATGTGTCTATTTGCTGATCAGAGACAATATGCATCTCCTGAGAACCCCCTATTGTCTGCATGCTGCTCTCTTTCACTTTTGTGTGGCATTCAGGCTTACTAGGAATATGTAATGCAACTCCCTAGCACTGCTGTGAACAAGGATGCAGCACAAGAGAGCAAGGGGATCACAGAAGATGTTTTTGTGACCACAGCACACAGACAGTTTCCAAACAGTATCGGATAATCTCCTCTTCCTCCTAATTACTTCCTCCAGTAAGAGTAAGGAGGAAGAAGAAGAATGAAATTTTAAGTCTGTATGTGTACATGCGTGTATTTGATCTGGATCCTAATATGAATGTATGTATATGGAAGTGCGTAATCATGTATGCATGTTAGCACATATGTAGGTTAGTGGCTAGGCACGTATCTTAGTAACATGTATTAACCCTTTCAGTGAATTCTAAATTAAACAGAGTGTGAAATAAATAAAAGTTCAAACATTAGATCTCTCTTTACAGGAAGTGTTTAGGAAGGCTGTGCACCTTACACGTGGTGAGGTATGACTAGGGCTGTATATATACACAAAGTGAGTTACATCTTAAATGGCAGAGATCTATACACCAAAACTGCTCATCAAGTGCATGACAAACATCAAATGCACACATTCCATGCATGTTGAATTGCTCACATTGGCCCTACCCTGACTTCTCCCTTCGAGCAGACTACCATTTCAGGGGTGTTTGGTGGGTAATGCATATAAGTAGGGTTTTAATGAAAATCATGAGGCTCAATACTATTGCCACCACCTTTTAGTGAATATACTTTTTTTTAGCATGGATTCCTGGTGTCAAATGGTGGCCCATGCCCTATGAACACATCACCCAACAGGTTGTATGTGAAGAGTAACAGTTATTGCAAGGTGGCATTTCTGGCCTGAGGAAAACCAGCAGTGGGTTCCATTAATCAAGACTGAAAATTATTGAAACTTAAAATATAAACAAAGTTTCTTAGCAGCATGTGTTAGATGTGAATATGAGCAATATCCTTTTCCATGTATTGTTTTTATTGATATTTACAAATTACAAGGTACAAAGAGTCACAAACATCTCACAGCAGTCCAGTCAGTCAATGATATAGTTACAGAATTGTGAGACAGACTGGTTGTGATGAATATAAGTGAGGCTGCAGTCAATACCATCACCGGTGCAGAGAGCTTGAGCAACAAGACTGGGCCAATACGTGCGCATTACATAGATGTTATATATTAATGTAAATATGTTATTGTGCTGGAGTGTGCACCCAGCAACAAGACTGGGCCAATACGTGCTCATTACATATATGTTATATATGTACATTAATATATATGTAAATATTATAGGCATAATTGCATATATAATACACACATTAATATACATGTCATATATACACATGTATTACGGTCAGAATCACAAATTATCAATGTCTATCTGTACATTGTGTATGCAAGATTGCTAGCAAAATTTATATATTGGAAGGAAAATCTATTTAATAAGAGCTCTCTCACCTGTCAATTAGCTCTTTAGCATAGAGTCCTGTACTGGAGAACTGAGGTACAGGAAACAGGTGAAAATGCCTCCCTACACACACAAAAAAAAATAAAAAAAATCATCTTGTGTTTTTCTTAACCCCTTTTGAATTTCTTGCCACTTTGTGTTTCTTGTTCCCCCTTGTGACTCCCTTTGTGTATCTTTTCCTTCATCCCAGTCCCTGTGTGTGTGTCTTTTTACCATTTTCCAGCCCACTGTAGGTCTTTTTCTCCCCTTCCGAAGCCAGTCTGTGCATCTCTCTGCTCCACCAGCCCCTGTATCTGTCTCTCCCAGTCCTTTTGTATGTTTCTTTCTCCCCCTCACTGCCCGTGTCCATATCTCCCCTCTCCTTCCCAGTCTCTCTCTTACCCCTGTTTCTTTCTCCCATGTGTCTATCTCTTACCCGTTTCTTTCTCCCCCTCTCCCTGTGTGTCTCTATTCTTCCCTCTTCCCCTGTCATTACTCCCTGAGACTGACTTTGCCTGGAGCTTTGGGAGACCGGCAATGGCAGATATGGGCTGTTCTCTCAATCATGCTCCCTCGTGGTTCCCACAATTCCCAGCACAGCCACACCATACATATAGTAACCATTACCCTATGATGTGACTGTGCTGGGAATTGTGGAAACCGCAAGAGAACATGACAGTCCAGTCCGCCCCCTCCCTCAGTCCACTCAGTATATTAGTGAGTGTCCGGTGGCACCTACACACGGCCGCGTGGGCAAACTCGCTATAGGCGGGAAGAATCTGTGCAACCCCCCGGTGCCGCGGGCATGCTGGTACACATTTTATAACTAGGGTTGTTATATACGGTACAGATGTTTAAATGGCCATAGTAATAGAATCCATTGCCATTACATGTCCTCGCGGTGAAGCAGTGAATTAATGCGCACTGTGCGCCCAAATGTTATACCTGAAGCCTCTGCTCACGTTGATAGCTTTATGCAGCAGCCAAAGAGAGCACTAACATGGCCGCCGGTGCGCCTTCACTAACCGGATATCCGCTCACATGGAACGCAAGTCACACCTCCAGGAAGCACGGGTTCTTATAGAACGTTAAAGCACACGCACACTGTGGGTATGGATGAACGCTATTACAACCTGTCAAAGGAGCAAGCTGCAATCAAAGCAAAATACCCACCCGTGATAAAAAATCATGAATGTAGGTGAAGCCTCGTTGTATTGAACAGTCCAGAAACGAACACCGTTAGTGTTTTATTCCCACTTTATTAGGCTCATATATATATATAATCAGGTTATGGATAAAGAATGATTATGGGGCAAAGTTCGAAGAGGTAGATCAGTTGGCAGCAACCATACATTGCTTTCCTTGGTGACTGTTCCACTTTTCGAGCTTTAACCCAGAACTTTTAATTATATATAACAACGTTGTTGTTGTTGTGTTGTTTTTTTGTTTGTTTTTTTTAGTTGAAAGAAAATAAACTAAACGCTGCATGATAAAATGTACCAATGTACCTTAGTGCTTTATATGTTATTCTTGCTGTCATAATTAGAATAGTAGCCAGGTATATTTAGTCTTTGCCTACCAGGGTTAGTAATATAATACTTTTTTCAACGGAAGCCCTAGTTGTGAGCTCTCAATAACCATTGTTGGTTACTGTTAGTTTGTTGATCATTGTTACAAAAGCTTCTGTAGTGGGGTTGTTTTCGCTAAACTGTGCGTTGTGACTCGAGAACTAGCTTGTAGATTTTCAGCTAAAACTGTCAAATTGGATAAAACCTTGAATTCAGCTGTATTAAAGATTTTTTTCCAACCTTGTGGACTTTTAATTTTTCAAGTTGATTTACAAGTTACCACACCTCTTTGGTTTCTAAGTAAGAGACAAAGTGTTCTGACACACCTGTTTCATATTCCTGTGCTGTAGGTGTATAGTTGTTGTTGTTACATAGGCTGAAAAGAGAAATGCCTCCATCAAGGTTAGCCTTTCTCATTTCTGTTTTTGCTATTGATCCAAAAGATGCCAAACCTTTGTTAACCTGTCTTCCTAACTAAAATGCTCCATTCCATTTAGCAATTTGTAGCCCACCTCTGCACTCTTTCTAGTGCCACAATATCCTTCTTTAGAACAGATGCCCAAAATTACACAGCTTATTCAAGGTGTGGTATTACCAGTAATTTATAAAGAAGCAAATTTTTATTTAATCTGCCATTTAAATTCACAGTCTCCTAATCCAGTGGTTCCCAAACCAGTCCTTGTGGAACCCCTACCAGTCCAGGATTTAGGGATCACTCTGTTGTGTCCAAGGTGTGTGTGTTTTCTTTTTTTTATTTATTTATTTTTTTTTAAAACACCTTAGATAATCCCTGAATCCTGGACTGGTAGGGGTTCCACGAGGACTGGGTTGGGAACCACTGTCCTAATCTATTTAAATCCATCTGCAGCAATGTAATATTCTGCTCACATTGTATTACTGTAGAGTTTTGTGTAATCTACAAACAATGAAACATGGCTTTCAATGTCTATTTCAAGATCATTTATATACTGAACAAAATTATAAAGGCAGCATTTTTCATGAGCTGAACTCAAAAATCGAAGACTTTTTCTATGTACACAAAATGCCTATTTCTCTCAAATATGGTTCACAAATCTGCCTAAATCTGTGTTAGTGAGCACTTCTTCTTTGCCGAGATAATCCATCCACCTCACAGGTGTGGCATATCAAGATGCTGATTAGACAGCATGATTATTGCACAGGTGTGCCTTAGGCTGACCACAATAAAAGCAGTGTCTGCATAGTCTGATTTATCGTACTACATTAACCCCTTAAGGACGGAGCCAAATGTACACGTTGTGAACGATACAAAATGTAAACAAAACCTGGCATTTGCGCTACATGTCTGTCCAACCGTAATTCACCTCTTTCATAGTAAATGCACCCACCCTTATTATATATAATTTTATTCAGGGGAAACAGGGCTTTCATTTAATATCAAATATTTAGCTATGAAACATAATTTAATATGAAAAAAATGGGAGAAAATAGATTTTATTTTTTATTTTTTTAGTTCTACATGACATTTTAACGGTCAATGTCATAATACTGTTTGCTTTTACTGCAATAAAATACACATATTTGTATTCAGCAAAGTCTCACGTGTAAAACAGTACCTCCTATGTACAGGTTTTATGGCGTTTTGGGAAGTTACAGGGTCAAATATAGCACGTTACATTTGAAATTGAAATTCGCCAGATTGGTTACGTTGCCTTTGAGACTGTATAGTAGCCCGGGAATTAAATTTACACCCATAATGGCATACCATTTGCAATAGTAGACAACCCAAGGTATTGCAAATGGGGTATGTCCAGTCTTTTTTAGTAGCCATTTGGTCACAAACACTGGTCAAAGTTAGCATTAGTATCTGTTTGTGTGAAAAATGCAAAAAAACGCCAATTTTGGCCAGTGTTTGTGACTAAGTGGCTACTAAAAAAGACTGGACATACCCTGTTTGCAATACCTTGGGTTGTCTACTATTGCAAATGGTATGCCATCATAGGGGTAATTTTCATTCTTGGGCTACCATAGGGTCTCAAAGGCAACGTAACCAATCTGGCGAATTTTAATGTGAAAAAAATGAAACACAAGCCTTATATTTGACGCTGTAACTTTTGAAAACACCATAAAACCTGTACATGAGGGGTACTGTTGTACTCGGGAGACTTCGCTGAACACAAATATGTGTTTCAAAACAGTAAAAAGTATTGCAGCAATAATATCATCCGTGTAAGTGCTGTTTTGTGCATGAAAAATGCAAAAAACTTCACTTTTACTGGCGATATCATTGTTGTAATACATTTTACTGTTTTGAAACACTAATATTTGTGTTCAGCGAAGTCTCCCAAGTAAAACAGTACCCCCAATTTACAGGTTTTATGGTGTCTTGGAAAGTTATAGGGTTAAATATAGTGCTAGCAAATTAAATTCCCTATACTTTCGGCATGGGTTGTCAGGCAGGTCCCGCTAATTGTAATTAATTAGGATACCTAATTATGTAAAAATATTACATAAATATATGTGTAGAATTAATATATGTATATATATACATATGTGTATATATACATATATATATATATAATTTTTTTTAATATTTTTATTTATATATAGGTGTATATATATAGTGATATATATGTATATATTTATGTATATAGATATATATATTATTTCGTTCTACGTGTATTTTGATATAAATATATATATATTAATATCACAATACAGTTAGAACGAAATAACAAACATCTATATATTTTTTATTATTTATTTTTAATTATTTTTTTAATTTTATTTTTTTTACGTATTTACATTTTTTTATATTATATATAAATATATATATATAACAATTATATATATATATATATATATTTAATCAGTATTAGTCTACGTGTAATTTGATAGTAATATATATATAAATAATTATATATATTAATATTTAAATACACTTCGTGTATGTGTAAATGTGTGTGTGTGTGTGTGTGTGTGTGTATATATATATATATACTTAGATCATATATATATATATAATATATATGATCTAAGTATATTTTATATGTAACTGTAATTTTTTTTTTTTTAAACTAATATTTTATTTTTTTTACAGGAGAGGGGGCAGAGACAGTGTCAGCCAGTGATTTTACATCACTGGCTGACACACAGGATCAGTGATCACAGTGACTGCCTGTCACTGTGATCACCTCCTGCAGATTGGGTAATTGGCCACAGGGGGGAGTGCCTGGGTGGTACAAGCACTCCCCTCTTCCAATCTGCAGGGGAATCTTTGTGCCAGTTACATGTAACACTGATCGCAGTGACAGGCTGTCACTGTGATCAGAGCGCTCTGAGATCGCAGTGACAGCCTGTCACTGCGATCTCAGACAGTGCAGATCGCGGTCACTGACCCCAGGGGGACTGCCTGGGGGGCCAGGTAAGTCCCCCGGCCACGTGTGTCAGACGATTTGAAATCGGCTGACACACGTTAAAAACTGATCGCAGTGACAGCCTGTCACTGCGATCAGAGACTGCAGATCGCGGTCACCGGCCACAGGGGGGGTTGCCTGGGGGGCCGGGCATCCCCCCCGACCGCGATCTGCAGCGGGTGACTAGCGCCAGCCACATGGGCGGCCATTAAAGTGAGGGCGTACTATTACGCCCTCCGGCGTTTAGAGCCAGCTCCTGCAGGGCGTAATAGTACGCCCTCCGGATTTAAAGGGTTAACATATAGTCTATATATTGTGAGATTATCCATTTTATAGCGCAGCCCTTCACCCCCTTTTCTTCTTCTGGCCACTATAAAATGTGCAGTTTTACTGTATTGGATGGGTCTGGGGGGAGGGTTCCGAAAAACAGTCAATATCTGGTGTGACCACCATTTGCCTCATGCAGTGCAACACATCTCCTTCACATAGAGTTGATCAGGTTGTTGATTGTGGCCTGTGGAATGTTGATCCACTCCTCTTCAATGGCTGTGCGAAGTTGCTGAATATTGGCAGGACCTGGAACAAACTGTCGTATACGCCGATCCAGAGCATCCGAAACATGTTCAGTGGGTGACATGTCTGGTGAATATGCTGGCCATTCAAGAACTGGGATGTTTTCAGCGTCGAGGAATTGTGTACAGATCCTTGCAACATGGGGGCTGTGCATTATCTGCAACATGAGGTGATGGTCATGGATGAATGGCACAACAGGATCTCATCACGGTAGCTCTTTGCATTCAAAATGCCATCAATAAAATGCACCTGTGTTCGTTGTCTATAACATACGTCTGCTCATACCATAACCCCACCGCCACCATCGGCCACTCGATCCATAACATTAACATCAGCAAACCGCTAACCCTCACAATGCCATACACGCTGACTGCTATCTGCTCTGTACAGTGAAAACCGGGATTCATCTGTGAAGAGAACACCCCTCGAAAGTGCCAGACTCCATCGAATGTGAGCATTTGCCCATTCAAGTCGGTTATGACGACGAACTGCAGTCAGGTCGAGACCCTGATGAGGACGACGAGCATGTAGATGAGCTTCCTTGAGACGGTTTCTGACAGTTTGTGCAGAAATTCTTTGGTTATGCAAACCGATTGTTGCAGCAGCCGTCCGAGTGGCTGGTCTCAGATGATCTTGGAGGTGAAAATGCTGGATGTGGAGGTCCTGGGCTGGTGTGGTTACACTTGGTCTGCGGTTGTGAGGCAGGTTGGATGTACTTCCAAATTCTCTGAAACGCCTTTGAAAACGGCTTATGGTAGAGAAATGAACATTCAATTCATGGGCAACAGCTCTGGTGTTCATTCCTGCAGTCAGCATGCCAATTGCACGCTCCTTCAAAACATGCATCATCTGTGGCATTGTGCTGTGTGATAAAACTGCACATTTTGGAGTGGCCTAAGGCACACCTGTGCAATAATCATGCTGTCTAATCAGCATCTTGATATTCCACACCTGTGGTTGATGGATCATCTGGGCAAAGAAGTGCTCACTAACACAGATTTGTGAATATTTGAGAGAAATAGGCCTTTTGTGTACATAGAAAAAGTCTTCAATTTTTGAGTTCAGCTCATGAAAAATGGGGGCAAATACAAAAGTGTTGCATTAATAATTTTGTTCAGTGTACATATGTTAAAAAGTAGCAGTCCCAGAACAGAACCCTGAGGGACACCACTTACTACTTTTGTCCATCTTGAATATTAACCAATAATTACAATTCTCTGTGCTCTATTTTTAAGCCAATGTTCCACCCAAGAACAATAATTTTCATCTAGACAAAGTTCTTTTTGTTTGAACACTAATCTATTATGTGGAACCGTATCAAACACCTTGGCAAAATCCAAACCGATCACATCCACTGCAACACTCTGATCTATACCTCTACTTACCTTTTCATATAATTAAATTAGTTTGACCTATGTTTCATAAAACAATGTTCTTCCCAATGAATTCCTGAATATTATCCTTTTAAAGGGACATTATAGGCACCAAGATCACTTCATCTCATTGAAGTGATCTGGGTGTACTGTCCCTGTTCCCATTAGTCCTGCGATGTAAAACATTGCAGTTTTAGAGAAACTGCAATGTTTTCATTGCAGTACTAAGACTACCTTTAGTGGCTGTTTACCTGAGAACCACAAGAGGTGTTTCCTAGAGTTTCACGGAGTTTGACTCTGAAACAACGCTGGGCGTTTTCAAGCTTTGCAGTTAAAAAAAACAAAAACAAAACATAAAGCATTGAGACTTCCTACGGGGAAGGCTTCTTACATGCGCATTAGGTACTCCCCCTATCAGATGAAGTCACATGACATTGAAGATTTGTTTGTTATACCAGATCCAGACAAGCATCCTTTCTAGTTGGTGCTTGTACCAATTGGACCTGAAGATTTCATTTTGAAGGTTCAGAGAATTATTACCTCCAATAATTAACATGTTACCTAGATATGCCGTTTTCCCAATTTGCTCAAATATGCTTGAGCAATTTACACCAAAGCTGGCTGTTCAGGATTTTGCTAACCCTAGCTGTTTGTGAACTTTCTGTTGTTGCTTTATCACTACTTGACTTTTCACAGCAAAACTTCTGAACTGTTTATAACTAACTACTGGCACTGTGCTTGTCACTTGAAAATACAAGACTATAATTATTATAATTTTTTTTTTCAGATTTGGATCACACCGCAGATGTTCAGTATGTATTTGATACTTTCCTCAGTTTAGTTTGCATATTGTATTCATACACTTCCCATGCACTTATTGGGATTGTTTCTATTCAATCCACAGAAGGCAGGACAGGGATCCATATTTATGACTGTCCCTTCAAATGGGATAATTTTGTGAAGTATTGTGCATATAGGAGAACCCATGACTCAAAGCAGGACTTGACAAATGTGTTTAGAATCTAGGAGCTAGTTTTTTGTAAACTAACAAAGTTTAATTTTCAATGAGAAAAATACACTTCTTAAGGGGACGCTATAGTTCACAGCTTAATGTAGTAGTTCTGGTGTCTACAGTCTCTCCCTGTAGGCTTTTCAGTGTATAGACTGCCTTTTCAGAGAAAAGGCAGTTGTTTACATTGCTGCCTAGTAACAACTCAAGTGGCAGTCTCTTTTGGGAGAGCTGGAGTGGATCCTTTCCCTGTGGAACAGTGTGGCTGTTGTGATCCTGTAATCTTCTTGCTCTGTTCCCTCGTGCGCTGTTTAGTGATGCTGAAGCCCGGAGTGATGTCATATTCCGGCTCTCGGCATCACTAAACCATGCGGATGCAGAGCAAGAACTGCAGAACAGTTCCTGCTCTCTTTCTACCTCCAACGAGGGGCAGACAAATCACAGGCACCAGGACCACTTCAATGTAGTCATTGTGGGGGCTGGAGGTTCTAGATCTATGGCTTACCTTATGAGGTTAAACTGTTTTGGGCATTAGTAACTTGCACAGAATTGACCTTGAGGCAGCCCAGAAAAGAGTTTCGTTCTGCATAAGTCACTTGTGGGGGATGCCAGTCTCCGGGCCAAAAGTGCACATTACTCTGTATATGCAGCTTTTTAAGCCAGAAGTGGTCATGATTAAGTTTTAAGAGTAAATATAACACCTTTAACCCCTTAAGGACTGGACTGTTTTTGTGATGTTGTACATTTGCAACCAGGCCTCTTTTTACACTTTTGTGGTGTTTGTGTTTAGCTGTAATTTTCCGCTCTCTCATTTACTGTTCCCATACAAATTATATATTGGTTTTTTTCAGGACAAAAGGGGCTTTCTTTACATACCATTATTTTATATAATCTCATGTAATTTAATTTAAAATAAAAAAATATGATGGAAAATTGAAAAAAATACATGTTTTTTTTACTTTTACTTGAAAAATCTTTTACTCATCTACAAAAGCGAATGAAAAAACTGCTAAATAGATTCAAAATTTTGTCCTGAGTTTAAAAATACCCAGTGTTTACATGCTTTTTTGCTTTTTTTGCAAGTTATAGGGCTATAGGTACAAAGTAGATATTGCAGTTTCAAAACATACATTTTTAAAATTTATCAATAGTGACATTGTAACACTATTATCTGTCATAAATCTCTGAATAACACCCCACATTTTTTTTTAAAGTAGACAACCCAGGGTATTCAATATGGGGTATGTCCAGTCTTTTTTAGTAGCCACTTAGTCGAAAACACTGGCCAAAGTTAGCATTCATATTTGTTAGTGTGTGAAAAAAGTAAAAAACTAAATTGAAAGCTAATTTTGGCCAGTGTTTGTGACTAAGTGGCTACTAAAAAAGACTGAACATACCCCATTTGCAATACTTTGGGTTGTCTTCTTTTGCAAATGGTATGCCATCATGAGGGTCATTCTCATTCCTGGGCTACCATATGCTCTCAAAGGCAAGGAAACCAACCTGGCCTTTCTCAATGTAAAAATATTTGACCCATATGTTTGACCTTGTAACTTTCAAAACGCTATAAAACCAGTACATGGGGTTACTGTTATACTCGGGAGACTTTTTTTTGCGTCAGATATTGGGACTACTTTACGCCATTACCAGGTAGCATTATCAAGGTCCCATATCATCATATTCTTTTTAGCACACCAAGAAAGGGGGAAAAAGAAAAGAAAAGAGGAAAAAAAAGGGGGCGGGGGTGGCGGGGGGGGGTGGGAGTTCTGCCAATATTTCTAACATTAGTAGTCTATTAACTCATCATCAGTATGTCTTAAAGTAATCTTGCTATGGTGTTTCTGCCCCAAACGCTAGCCAAGGTTCCCATGTCCTAACATAGTGGTTTCTCTTCCCCTGAATGGCCCAGTGAACTTCTTCAAGTTCCCTCAAAGCTTCTACTCTAAGAATCTATTGTTCTTTAGTTGGGATACTAGGTTTAAGCCAATACAACGGGATCAAAGCATTTGCCTCATTCAATAAATAACTCAGCAATGTCGGTTTATTATTCTCCTTAAAGGAAGCTGGCCATCCCAATAGGATCTTAGATGGGGATAATTGATCAGGCATTGGTAAAATTTTATAAATGACACTCAATACCTGTAGCCAATAGCTCCTAATAAGTTTGCACTCCCACCATATATGTTCCATATTCGCCCCCCTCTCACCACATCTCCAACAGCCATCCAAGGCTGGTAAACCGTATTTTTTAAGTCGATCTGCAGTGTTGTACCATCTAGTAACTCTTTTAAAAAATATAATTTTTCTAGGAGTGCTCATCTGGGCTTTCATCCCCATTTTGAACACAAATGACCAATCATTGCTGGTCATTTGAATGTTCAAACCTTGCATCCATTTCAGTTGGAATGAAGGGACAGTCTTCTCCATAGCTCCCTTATGAATTAGACTATATATACTGGACAGATACCGTTTTTTCTCTATCCCAGGACCACAAAGTGACTCAAACTCTGTTCTATCTCTCGTCTGCCAATATGGTAACACTTTTTGGTTTAAGAAAAACTTTAAATACATGATACCCATTCTATCTATAAGAGCTGTCATATTGTCCCAAGAAGGGAACTCTCTTAATCTAATGGGTGTTCCATCTGTTATTAAACTTGTTACTGAAGGGTGTGCTTCTCCTGTTAACTTTTCCAGTAGCTTGTGGCCCGGCCCAAACTGGAAATCCAAGTTAGATGCTATTGGGAAGAATACAGATAATCCCGGGGATAGCCCCCATCTATCTTTAAGTCTTCTCCAAATATGTATGGTGTGGTTTATAATTGGATGTTTAGAGGGTGATAATAAATTTAATTTACAATTCTGCCAAGGCAGGGTCTTCAACTTAACCTTTATAAAATCCTGTTCTATCTTGTACCATGGCTTTTCCTTATCTATAGCTGTCTATTCTCTAATTCGCGCACATAATATCGCGACATAGTATCTATAAATATGCGGGAGGCCCAAGCCACCTCTCTCAACTGGTAATGTCAATATATTATACGCAATACGTGGAGTTTTATTATTCTATATGAATGAAAGGAATGTAGATCGCAGTTTTCTAAAGAAATCTCTCGGCAGTGAGACAGACAATTTCTGAAATAGGTATAATACCTTTAGGTAGTATCATCGTGTTTATGATATTTACTCTCCCGATCAATGAAAAGGAGGCCTGGTTCCATTTTTTTAGATCCTATTCAATCTTTCTCATTAATTTTCCATAATTCAATTTAAATAAATCTTTTAAATGTACCGTCAGTTGTGTCCCTAAGTATGTTATACTAGTATCTGTCCACTTATATTTATATAGCTTTTGTAATTTCTCTTTAATTCCTATATTTATCCCCACTCCCAGTATTTCGGACTTATCTGCATTTACTTTAAAATTAGATAAGCCACCAAATTTCTCCAATTCTTCATGAACATAAGGAAATGTATATCGGGCTTCTATGAGCATAAATAAAACATCCTCGGCAAAAGCGGTTATTTTTACCTCTCCTCCCGTATACTTATATCCTTTAATGTCCGTATTCTTTCGTATGGCTTCTAAGAAAAGTCGGCCATCGCCGGCCCTTTAAATGCTGCAGCCGCCTGAGCGCTCTATAGAGAGTGCTCAGACGGCTGCCGCACTGCCTCACCTCCCCTGCCCTGTAGCGTGGCCGAGCTCCTTTCCGGTCCGCTACCCGGCGGGACTGACAGGAAGTGCACACTGAGTGTGCACTTCCTGTCAGTCCCGCCGGGTCGCGGACCGGGTAGGAGCTTGGCCACGCTACAGGGCAAGGGAGGTGAGGAGATGATTACAGGGAAGGAGGGGGGGGGGAAGAAGATTATAGGGGGAAAAAGAAGATCATAGGGGAAAGAAGATTATAGGGGAAAAGAAGATTATGGGGAAAGAAGATCATAGGGGAAAAAGATTATAGGGGGAAAAAGAAGATTATAGGGGAAAAGAAGATCAGGGAGGGGAAGAAGATTATAGGGGAGGGGAAAAAGGTCATAAGAGGGGAAGAAGTCAAGGGAGGGGAAAGGCCATAGGAAGGGGGAGAAGGATAGGAGAGAAGATTGCAAAGAAGATTAGGAGGAGAGAAAGACAAAGAAGATTATAGGAGGAGGAGAAGATTTAGAGGGAGGGGAGAAAGAATGAGGAGAGAAGATTATGGAGGGAAAAGATCATAGGGAGAAGATCAGAGGAGGGGGGGAGAAGATCATGGGGAAGAAGACTATGGGGAGAAGATTATGGGGAAGAAGATTATAGGGGGGGAGAAGATTATAGGTGAGAAAAGACTATGGAAGGGAGAAGATTATAAGTGAGAAGATTATGGAATGGAGAAGATCATAGGAGGAGAAGATCAAGAGGGAGGGGGAGAGAAGATTATAGGGTAGAAGATTATAGGAGGGGAGAAATTATCAAGGGAAGAAGACCATAGGAGGGAGAAGATTACAGAGGGGAGAAGATCAGAGGAGGGAGGATGGAGAAGACATGGAAAAAAAAAAAAAAAAAAAAAAAAAAAAAACATCGAGGAGGGGAGAAGAAGAGAAGATTACAGGGCGGGGGAGTGGATAAGATTACAGGGAGGCGGGAGTGGAGAAGATTACAGGTAGGGAGTGAGAGTGGAGAAGATCACAGGGAGGGAGGGAGGAGTGGAGAAGATCACAGGGGAGTGGAGAAGATTACAGGGAGGGAGGAGTGGAGAAGATTGGAGCGAGGGGGTAGAAGAAGAGGATTGAGGAGGAGGGGGAGGAAGAAGAGAAACTATGGGGGACAGAAAGATTACAGGGAGGGGAGGAAGAAGAGAAGATTACAGAGGGGAGAGAAGAAGAGAAGATCATGAGGAGGTGGGGTGAGAAGATTATAGGGGGGAGGATGGGATTAGGGGAGTGGGGAAGCCATGGGGGAAGAAGATTATAGGAGGGAGGAGAAGATCATAGGGGGGGAGAAGATTGAGGGGGAGAGAAGATTATGAGGAGGGGTGGAGAAGATTAAGGGGGGAGAAGATCAGAGAGGGGAAAAAGATCATAGGAGGGGAGGGGGGAGAAGATTACAGGGAGGGGAGGGGGGGGAAAGATCAGGAGGGGGGAGAAGATTACAGGGAGGGAGGGGAGGAGAAGATTACAGGAGGGAAGAAGAAGATTGATGGGAGGGAGGGGAGAAGAAGAGAAAATGGGAGGGGGAGGGGAGAAGATTAAGGAGGGGAGAAGAAGGATTACAGGGAGGGGGGAGAAGAAGAGAAAATTACAGGGGGGAGGGGAGAAGATTACAGGGAGGGGGGAGAAGAAGAGAAGATTACAGGGGGGAGAAGAAGAGGAGAACACAGGGAGGGGGGGAATAAGAGGAGAACACAAGGGGTGGGAGATGAGAACGTAGGGGAGGGAGAGACCACTAAAGGAGGGAGGGGGCGGTGGAGAGACCACTAGGGGAGGGGTGTGAGGAGAGACCGCTAAGGGAGGGGGGTGGAGGATAGACCACTAGGGGAGGGTGGGGGGAGAGGAGAGACCACTAATGGAAAGTCGGGGAGAAAAGGAGACCACTAAGGGAGGTGGGGGGGGAGAGGAGAGACCACTAAGGGGCAGGGGAGATCTCTAAGGAATGGAAGGGAGAGCTCTATAGGACAGGGGGCAGGACAGGGAGCTCTTTCACACCACACGCGCACACACACACACAATGCATCCCTATACACACAGAAACACAACATGCTTCCCTTACACACAGAGAAACACACAATGCAACCCTTACACATAAAGACAATGCATCCTTTGCACATATACACAGAAACACACAATGCATCTCTTACACACACACACAGAAACACAATGCATTTTTTACACACACTCAACGCACCCCTTACAGACACACACACTGCATCCCTTACATACACAGAAACACACTTTGCATCCCTTATGAATACAAACACAAATTCACACAATGCATCCCTTACACTCAACAAGAAACACACAATGCATCCCTTATACACAAACACTCACGGCATTCTATCCCTTACACACAAACACACTGCTTCCACTACACACAAACACACTGCATCACCTACACAAACTGGTATCCCTATACACTACATTCCATAAGCACACACATTAGATCCTCTACAGTAACACATAACACATCCCCTACACACTCTACTCCCTGTGAGCGAACTCATGGGTGGAACATGTAGGTGGACTTATGGGTGGGCTTTATGGGCATACTCACCGTCAGGCCCTGGGGCCCAGACCTTGAGCTATGTAAGAGGCCCCAAAAAATGGAGCTGCTTCCCGTTCTCCCAGAACATTGAATTTTGTGACAAACAGCCTCCAGAGATCCTGTTCTACACCAGACCAGTGGAGCCAGACTGCAGCCAGAGCCCATCACCATCCTCATCTGATTGTAAGTAGGCAATCTAGTATATTATTAGTGACACTAATCTCTAATTTACCTCACATTAAATGGACACTATAGTCCCCAGAACCACTGCAGCTTAATAAAGTTGTTCTGGTATCTATAGTTTGTCCCTGCAGGCTTTTTAATGTAAACACACACTGTGGGCAGCACTGGCATTAGTTCATATGGCAGATCATATGGGTGGGGCATTGCGATGTCCCGGGGGGGAGGGGGAAGGGGCAAATCTTTCTTTTGCCTAGGGCTGCAAAAATCCTTGCACCGGCCCTGAGGACAGGGGAGGCAAGACTTGCAGGCACTATTACAACTTCAATAAGATGAAGTTGTTAAAGTGCATTCAGTGTTCCTTTTACTTTATTGGTTCTTCCATTCTATGTACTGAACAAAAATGGCATAATCCTTTCTCTACAGACTCCATGCATGGGGGGAGACTCTGGAAGAAGCTTTTGAGCAATGTGCCATGGCAATGTTTGGTTACATGACAGATATTGAGACAGTGGAACCGATTGACACTGTGGAAGTGGAAACAGAAGGTGAGCTTTCATTTGTAACATTTATATTAAATTAAAGCTGATGTTAGCATCACATATTCTACATTACTGTGTGAGCTTGGATTCCCGAAATTTTCCCTGTACAGGTGGCCCTGGCCAGGATAAAACAAAATAATTCTAATTTGGCCAGCAAACCAAAAGAGAATTCACAACAATATTGATGAAAGTAAGCCATCGTTTGTAGTCTTGGAGATCTGCATTTATTTTAATGTCTAAAGAAAGCAGGATTACATTAATGACTTCATGTAGAATATTCATTCAATGTGTATTTAATCTCTTATACTGCAAACTCCCTACCATATTGCTTTTACTATAACATTGTTTTGTTTTTATATAATGTTTTTGCATTATAACAGAAAGTTGACTTTAGTCCCTACTTTGATGTCTGTATTCTATCTTGCCACTATTATTACACTGTTTGCAAATGTATTTTCTTTTTAACCAAATTTAAAAGCTGAATTCCTTTTTTCTATGCTGCTGGCAATGCGTTGTTGCAATAGCTCTCATTTGTCCCCATCACCCCCACTACATGCATTTAAACAAAGGATTACCTGGTGTCACCTGTTTTGTCAAATATTCTTACCAGTTGACCAATTAAATCAGTACCACCCCTAGGAACTATGTCATTTTGTCCTTCCACTCCTTTAGGTAAATGGGCTATTAAATGATGAGTGATCTACTGACTCTGTTGCAGAAGCCTTCTGTTCTTGTTTTTTTGACTGCTTATTTTTCTTTAACGGTCATCTACAGTGTTTACAATTATCTATTCATTATTGCTGTTAGTACTGTTAAAGTGAGCTATTAGTATGACTTGCTATTGTTCTCTTTGCTGTTGCTTACATGTGTATGAAAACATGTGTATCATAATTACCCACATTTGCGCAATCATAAATAGATCCACCAACACATGTGCTCTCTTAACTATTTTTAAAGTGGCCACTATACATATCAAGATGGTGTATGCAACAGGACAGAGTGAGGAGACAAATATAACGGTTTGATGGCAACAAGTAAACACATTTCATGTAAATTTAGTACTTAATTTTTTTATTATATTATTTACATTTATACAGGGGAAGATTTGATATCCCTCCTTTACCACTTCCTGGATGAATGGCTATACAAATTCAGTGCAGACCAGTTTTTCGTACCTAGGGTGAGAATTGTATTATTGTCTATTTACTGCTACTGTTGGTAAACATTCTGAAAAATAATAACCTCTCTTCCTGTTCGGTAGGAAGTGAAGGTGCTACATATAGATCGAATGAGCTTCAAGATCCGTTCTATTGGGTAAGAGTAGTCACCAATGTATGTTTTATTTATTTTTTTAAATTGGGGAAACTCCCAAAATAAATTCTAAACTACTTACTTTGCATGTAAAAGATAAAACTAATTAGCCTTTTGTATTCGTCTTTGCTGAAGGCTACTGTCTTAAACCAAGTTTTCAATATACTGTGATCACTTGGCTCTTTGGGAAACAATGGGGGTTGTTGTCCACCTGCTGGAAGTGGAGGGAACACTGCAATGCCGTCCCATGTCCAGCAACCGACATAAGCACCCAACTGGAAACACGCTGATCACAGGACTTGGGAGTCAAGACAAACTTTTAAGGAGTTTAAGACAGGATTGATATATGGAGGGCTCAGCACCCCGATATAAGAGATTCTTTCTATTCTAACCCACACAGAACTTATTCCGTATAGACATGTGCCTTATATTTACTAAACTCCTCCCATTAGTAGCCAACTCGGAGATCAATAATATCACATGATCAGACCATGATGATATAGCAATGTAAATTAAGGACTTTGACAGCCCCGCACTGGACATGGCGACTCAATTTCTTATTGTTAAAGGATCAACAGTTAGTGAAGGAGCTCTCACTTTGGGTGCTGACATAACTCTAGATAAAGTCCTAGCGGCCATATCGGGGTCTGATGGTTTTAGTGTGTTGGGGACCAGGAACCAGACAGAGACAGAAAATAGATGCAAAACACCTTTATTAATAAATATCAACAAATGAAATAAACCAAAAGCAAAGTCCAGGAGGCAAGCAGGTAGTCAGACGAGACAGGATCAGGAGAACGGAGAGCTGCAGAGTCAGGAACAAGGCCAGAAGTCAGGAACCAAGACTACACAGGAAACAGGAAGTCTTCTGGGAAACAGGAAACTACGCAAGGGCAAGGAGTTACTGGAACTTGCTGCTTAAATAGGCTGAACTGATTAGCATAAGGGCTGGCTACTAACAACCAGGTGAATAACCGTTGAAACGGTAATGAAGGAGCTGATTGTTAAAAGCAGCTGAATAGCTCAGACACAGAGAGAGGAAAGGTTGCTGTTTAAAACAGCAGAGAAAACATGACATAGTGGAAGTCATTACAAAACTTTCCAAGATATACTAGCTCCACATCTCTTGAAGATTGTCAATGATTGGCATGGGGGAGGTACACTGCCACCAGAAATGACCCTAGCTAACATAGTGCTTCTGCCAAAAGAAGGGAAAGACCCGACAAGGGTGAACAAGTATAGACCAATATCCCTCATCAATACGAACACAAAAATCAAAGCAAAGATACAAGCTACTCGACTGGGATCTATATTAAAAACACTTATACAATCTGACGAGGTAGATTTCATCCCCAGCAGTTATTTGAAGATACTAGAAGGGTGCTTGATTTGGTGTGGAGGATGGATTCTACGGGAACGCCTTCTTTGTTCCTCTTGTTGGATGCAGAAAAGACATTCGACCGTGTGGAATGGCCATTCATGTTCAGCCTCATGATTGGGAATTTCCACCCTCTTTTATACGTGGAGGACGAGCCCTCTATACAGATCTCAAAGACCAACTCTTGGTTCCTGGTGCACTGTGCTTTCCTTTTCCACTCCGCGATGGGATGAGACTGAGATGCCCTCTCTCCCATGCAGTTTGCGCTCTCTTTAGGATTGTTGTTACATCTCATTTGAAATAACTTTGTGGTTGAAAATCAGCACTTTTTGATATTGGATGATACTCATAAAGCACCTTCTTGTTTGGGTATAGAATAGTCCTTTAAATATGTCTCAAAGGGCTTCCTAACAGCTACTAGAGGTGCTTTGGCTGTGAGGACAGAGGCAAACTTGCTTTTCACAGCTAACCTCCATTTCATTGGAGGAGTTCAGTGCTGAGCACAAGTCGGCTTTTCATCCTTATAAGGAGCATTGGATTATGGTTGTGACGTCGCTGGAGGCTGGTTAACAGGTTTATAAATCTAATGCACTAGTATTCCACTTGGCCTAAGCCACTCCAGCCTTTCGTTTCCACCCCAGGCTTTGTGTACTAGGAGATTACTGTTTTTTTTATTAAGCCATTCTAAAGATTTTACAATAACCAAGGGGAATACACTCAACTCAAGCTGTAGATGTCATGCTGCTTGGTGTACCTTTAAACTCACAAAGTATAGTTAATATACAGAGGTGTTTTTCCTTTGAAAAATGGATTGACGGGGAAAAAAAACAGAAAAAACAAAACTGTGACATTGACAGACATGAAGGAAACTTCATATCTATTGTCTCATCAAAAGCCACTTTGAAGATGTGATAACATTGCTCTTTTAATGCCTTTTTTCTTTGTTCTGCAGATGGGGAGAAGAGTTTAATTTATCCAAACACCCTCAGGTATGTGCCACACCTACAGTATGTATATCCATTGAGTTCTGCACGCTGAAAAACATTTTTATGCACAGAATTGACAGCTCTTGGCTGTCAATGTCATGTGTGATGGGGCTGCAAATAGCCGCCAGGACACATTTTGAATTGTCTTTGTATGCACAGTATGAAGTGGTCGTGGTTTTTGTAATAACCCTGTAAAGCTAAAAAAAACATTTTTTAAAACACAAAGCTCTTATATAAAGCACAGCAGTATACTATCAGCATTAACTTCTTCTGACCATTTCCTGTTTAGAGTTAAGACCGCTATACTGTTCATATATAATTTAAAACTTACAGTGAGCTTAATTGGTATATTATTAGCATTTATAAAGAGCTGGCTTATTCCGCATCAAAGGGACTAGCAACTAAGCAACAAGATGGGAAAGTAGCAGAACTGGAAGGGGACAGTGAAGTGTGGATATTTAACCCCTTAAGGACCAAACTTCTGGAATAAAAGGGAATCATGACATGTCACACATGTCATGTGTCCTTAAGGGGTTAAAAGAGAACAAGAGACAGGTTTGTGAAATGGAAGTTACTCTGGGAGGCCATAAACTTTTCTGAAGAGGTGGGTTTTGAGGGACTTCTTAAATGATTGAAGACTAGGGGTGAGTCTTATGGGGATAGCCAGGCTGTTTCAAAAGAAAGGAGCCATCCGTGAGAGGTCCTGCAAGCATGAGTTAGCAGTAAGGGTACGAAGGGCACAGGCAGGCGGAGGTCACCGACAGAACAGAGAGACAGAGAAGGCGCCTACCTACAAATTATGGTAGAAATGTATCAGGGGATAGAGTTGTTTAGAGCTTTATAGGTAAGGTTTAGTATTTTGAATTGCCTCCTATAGAGTACAGAAAAAAACCATATAAGGATTGACAGAGGGGTGAGGAGTGACTGAAGGAAAAAAAATCAAAAAAAATCACACTGGTGGAAGCATTCATTACAGTTTGTACCAAGGCACTATGGTTTCGTGGGAGACCAATTAGTAGAGAATTACAGCAATCCATGCAAAAAAACTACTAGAGCGTAAGCAAGCTTTTTAGCAGCATCTTGTTTAAGAAAGGGGCTATGTTTTTAAGGTGGAACCAGCAGGATGTGGCAACAGACTGGACGTGAGGTGTAAAGGTCAGGCCAGAATCACAGATAACCGCAAGACAGCGAGCTTGCAAAGACAGACTGATGCGGGTACCATCGACTTGCATGGAGATCCAAAAAAGGAGGAACAGTATTATGAGGAGGAAAAGAAACTCCGTTTTAGAGAGATTGAGTTCTAGAAAGCGGGACGAAATGGAAGAAAGGCAAGCGATGACATGTTTTAGGAGAGGGGGGGAGAGATCTATCTGGGTGTCCTTGGCTTAGATAGTAGCTGAATCAAAAGGAATTAAGTTTGCCAAGAGAGGCAGTATAAAGAGAAAACAAAAAATGACCAAGAACAGAACCTTGGGGGACTTGAACCAAGACAGGACGATGGGAACTGGTGTCATTAGAAAAGGCAACACTGAAAGTTTGGAGAGAAAGGATGAGATCCATGAGAGGACAGTGACACGGAGACCAAGGAATTGGAGAGTTTGAAGAATGAGAACATAATTAACAATGTCAAAGGCAGCAGAGAGGTCAAGAATTAGTAGGAAGTAGTGGCCTTTAGATTTAACTGCGATTAGATTGTTAGTTACTTTCTCAGAGTGGTCTAAGTAGAGTGGAGGGGGCGGAAGAGGGTCGAGGAGAGTATTGGAATTGAAAAAGCAAGCCAGTTGTTCTAAAAGCTTTGAGGAGAAAGAAAGCAGGTATATGTGATCAGGGGCGTATTAGCCGCGAGGCAAACAAGGCATTTGCCTTGGGCGGCATTTTTCAGGGGGCGACAAAAAATGCCGCCCTCCAAATGCCCAGGGCAAATGCTTAGTTAGCCTTGCGGCTAACAGACATCCCGAGCAGGCGGGCGGCTGGCGAGGGAGCACTTCCTATGAGCTGACTGCTCAGCTCCCTCACGCGCCGCAGAGTGAGGCTGGGAGCCGGAAGATGACGTCATCTTCCGGCTCCCAGCCTCACTCTGCAGCCGGCGCGCGAGGTAGCTGAGCAGTCAGCTCATAGGAAGTGCTCCCTCGCCAGCCGCCCGCCTGCCAGCGCCACCTGCCCGACCTGCAGCCACTGGACCACCGGACCACCAGGGAGAGAGACCCCCCCCCCAGCACTCCCAAAGGTAAGGAGGTTGGGGGGGGATTTAAATTAAAAAAAAAAGTTAAAGTGTGTGTGTGTGTGTCTGACTGTGTGTGTGTGTTTGTGTCTGACTGTGTTTGTGAGTGTGTGTGTTTGTGTCTGACTGTTTGTGTATGTGTATGTGTCTGACTGTGTGTGTGTATTTGTCTGTGTGTTTGTGTCTGACTGTGTGTGTGTTTGTGTCTGACTGTGGGTGTGTGTGTTTGTGCCTGACTGTGTGTGTGTGTTTGTGTCTGACTTTGTTTGTGAGTGTGTGTTTGTGTGTGACTGTGTTTGTGTCTGACTGTCTGTGTCTGTATGTGTCTGACTGTGTGTGTGTGTGTGTGTTTGTGTCTGACTGTGTGTGTGTGTATGTGCCTGACAGATTGACAGAGGGGTGAGGAGTGACTGAAGGAAAAAAAATCAAAAAAAATCACACTGGTGGAAGCATTCATTACAGTTTGTACCAAGGCACTATGGTTTCGTGGGAGACCAATTAGTAGAGAATTACAGCAATCCATGCAAAAAAACTACTAGAGCGTAAGCAAGCTTTTTAGCAGCATGTGTGTGTGTGTGTGTTTGTGTCTGACTGTGTTTGTGTGTTTGTGAGTGTGTGTGTGTGTGTGTCTGACTGTGTGTGTGTCTGACTGTGTGTGTGTGTGTTTGTCTGACTGTGTGTGTTTGTGTCTGTGTGTGTGTGTGTATTTAGAAGGTGGGGCGGGGGGAAGGGTTGGGTGGGGGTGGCGCAGGGGGCATGGAGAAGGCCTGAAGGGAAGGGAAGGTACTGTCTAAGTGCGGCTGAGAGTAAGAGTTGTGAAGAATTATTCACTTATATGGTTGATCTTGTCAGTAAAATAGCACACAAAGCTATCGGCTGAAAGTTTACTTTGGGGGGTGGCTACAGCAGAACAAAGGCGTTAGTTGAGGGTATCAGAGCAACGTTTTGGATGTGGGAGAATTAACTGAGAAAGGAAATATTATTGTTTAGCAAGGGTGAGGGCTGCACTGTACAAACCCAAAATGAATTAATAATGGAGAAAGTCTGACAAAGTACGAGACTTCCTCAAGCAGCGTTCAGTTGAACAAAAGCATCTCTACAGGTAGCAGGTCGACTTAGTGTGCCACAGTTGGAGGCACATTCTCCTTGAGATGTATGTTTGAAGTGTGGCTGCAGCGTACAGGGCAGAGGTGAGGGTAGCGTTATATAAAGAGTTAGCCAGAGACGGACAGGAAAAGGTAGGGATGGATGAGAGTTGAGAATTTACATCAGCTGACAGTCACTGGAGAGAAAGAGAATTCTGGTTCCTCCTAAGTTTAGGAGGCTTAGGCTAAGATTGTTTGGTGAGGGGCCTCTCAAAAACAAATTATTAGAGGTGGTGATCTGAAAGATGAAATGGAGTGTTACAGATATTAGAAACTGTGCATGCATTGGGGAAAAAAACAAGATCAAGGGTATTGTCTGTTACATATGTCCGAGAATTAGCCCACTGGGATAGTCCAAGGGAAGAAGCAATTGAAAGAAGTTTTGAAGCTACTAAGGTCGACGGTTAATTGGAATTTTAAAGTCCCCAAGAATTATAGAAATATTACTTGAAAGACAGTAGGGAAGCCAGGCAGCAAAATGGTCAAGGAAGAGCAGAGGGGAACCGCGAGGGGGGTGTAAAAAATGGTAACGTTTGCAGAGATGGGCTTGAACAGGCGCAATAAGTGAACTTCAAATGATTAGAAATAGAGGAAAGGGGAGAGGGTAGAGGTTTAAAGGACCAGTGGTTTGAAAGCAGAAAACATACTCCACCTTTATTTTTAGATTGTCATGTCAGAGTTAATTGACAACCACCAAAGGATAACAAGGCAGAATCAGAGGGAGATAACCATGTTTTCAAAACGAATAAGTCATGATTTAGTAATGTTGCAAACAGCGAGTGCATGCCAGAGGGAAGTGCAAAAGGAGTACTTAAAGGGAGAGTTGCATGGGATGGATAAATTACATCAAGAAGCCACAGAACAATGTTTCCCAATTTACCATAGCATGCCTGCACCTAATTTGTTAAGTCTTTTGTCTTGATAGGGAACAGAAGTCAAAGCCATCACATACTCTGCCATGCAGATCCACGAGGACGAAAAGCCTGAGGTGTTTGTAATTATTGATATCTGACTGCTCATATGGATGGTGGATCTAAGCGTGAGCTCTGGAGGGAGAATACTATGTAACTTAAACTACATACGAAATTAAATTATGTGTATGATACAGGATATTGATATGTTGTTTACACTGAGATAATAAATATTTTTCAATTAAAGAGTCTCTTATTCAGTATAAATTGGATTTTATTCCTAAAACACTATTAGATGCAATTGTATACAGTTTCCTGTAAATCCATAATACTATTTACACGCAAACCTGGCAGTCACATATAAAAACTCACTGCTTGTGGTGTATGAAATTAGGAAGGAAAGCATTTGACTACAGCTCCTACGATTTATCGCTCTTTAAGCTATATTTTGATTTCAATTACTCTAATTTCTTTTTTACTATGGCTGATGTTGCAGCAGTATGGGTACATCTGGTGACTAATTTGGAGCAGATTATATCTGGGTTGCAGCTATTCTGAGAAGAGAGAGAAACTTGAGGGATTGCAGTCTAGTCTGGCTGGTGAGCTCAGAAGGTGGGAGAAGTGGTCGATCTCCTTGCATGAAGAGGTCTGATCTTCAGGATTCTATTTGTATCCTGTCATCCCCCTAGGACCGGTGGGGGTTATCCAGGTCCTCGCTCTTAAGCTTACCTCCTTGTTGCACATCCTTTTGCAAAGGCAATCTGGATGCGGGGCTGCAAATAAGCATTGTACTCTGCAACTGACGCTGAATGGAAAGACATATCCAGACATGAACCCCAACTCATCTCAGTTGCCCTGCCCACTGCTCTCTATCTGGACCAGGAACCCAGACAGTGGTTCACCCTGTCCACATTCCACAACACCTGGAGGATCTCTACTATGTGGGACTACCTGGTGACCTTGACTGTCACTTGTCATGGAGAGGTCAATAAAACATTTTTCGCAAGTTCCTGTTAGACTGTGCTTGAAGGAATGGAGTACGAGGGCACTATTAAACTGAAAACAACAGTTGTATCTGCAGCTGTGGCTTTAAATGCCTGCGACGTGTGATCTCTAGCAACACTTGGCATTTTGACTGGCCCACAGAGAGCTTGTGACAGGCTTTATTCTCGCTCCCTGATCGGGGAATCAGATTAAGGCCCCCAAGGGCTGATGGACTGCGTTCTTACAGCAAAGGGATATTACTACTGTGGAGCGCTGGTGCAGGGGGCTACCTCTTTGTTTTATTCTGTTTAATGAAACCATTTTATAGTATTTTGTTATTTCCACATTATTGATATAACAACCTGTTCTGGTGGTTTATATTCGCTTGATCTAGTTATAATACAGTGTTGTTAATTTAAACAAATGACCTTCTTCTGATCTAGCGGTTACACATTGGGTTTGTTCTCTCTATAACTATGTAAACAGAAATGAGGTAGTTGTGTAGCTCTTTTGAAACTAAAAAATACTTAGCATTGTCCTACTCTATTTATCTTGACCAATGGAGCTTTTCTTAATATTGCTTGACTTCATTTGCAGACCTTACTCTGTGTGTAATCTAGTTACCTCAATAAAAAAAAAATTACAAGAGAAATGTAAAATGACAAGTTTTTTTTAAAGTGATCCTTCATTCCAGTGCAACTGTGAAATGGTGAACTTTGTTCTAGCTAACTGCTAAATTACTTTGACAGAAAAAAAATGTTGATATATTGCAACAGCATAATGAAATGGAGCTCTGCCTCTATAACACACTATTTGCCATGATGGGCAAAAAAAATTCTTTATCCACATCTGCTGGAAACAGAGATTTGATAACAGAGTATCATAGAAGTAGTATCAAAGTTTCTATGTGGGGAATGTTGACCCAATGTGGCAACCATCGGCATAAATAAGGCTGAGTAGCTAAATATGCTTTTTTTTCCTCCTCCTGTTAAATACGCAAAACATATAGATAAGAACTTCTATAAAATACTGTCAGTGATCAGTGTTTTTAAGAACACAACATGCTTAAAGCAATGGGAAACATTATAGCTACATGCCAGCTACACATTTGATTTTGGATTTTGATTCTTCCTCTTCACTGTCTACTGTATGCATGACCAAATCTGATTCTGGTTGATCACTCCCATTCTCTTCTCTCCCATCTTCTTTGAAACTCCAGCCCTGCTCCCTCTCACTTTCTGGTGGCAAAACGAGGGGCTGGTCATCTCCAAAATCAAAGCTCACATTGTCCAAACCAGCTTCTGTTAGGCATGTGTGACAAAGACGGTATCGTCTAGTCCCATCTTGAATAACACGACCAGTCATGTTTGTCACTGGGAGTTTGCACCGTCGACAGATGAGTTTACCAGCTTCATGGATCTAGTGGCAGGGTGAACAGGGAAGTCAAAACATGTTATTACATAATGCTAGATTGGATAACTACTCTTATACCAACTGTGATCTAACATATGTTTAAACCCACTGGAGTTGGTCATACTTCCAGACAATATCATTAAACAAAAATAATAACAGAAATAGACCACCTTGGTGTATTTTAATTGGAACCATTTGATTACAGTCAAAAATTAATGTCTGTTAAAGTGAACATATAGTCCCGAAAATGTATTTATTTTTTGGGGACTATAGATTCCCTTCTGTTATTGTGACCACTGTCCTCCCACCTTTGCTAATGTAAAAGTGAACTAAAGATTACTCACTTTGTTTCCAACGCCGCGACTCCTCCACTTCAGCCAGTCGTTTCACCTAGGTGACTTCAGATGGCTTATAAGCTTAGAACATTGCTATGTAAACACCTGTTTGTAAGGAGTTGTTGGGATTGGAAATTCCTGTCCAAGAGTGGAGTACATCTTATATGTGATTTATTAATTAGAGACTTAATAGATGTGTGTAATATCTATATATACAAATTTCTACTTGCCAGAAAATGTTCAATCTAAATTTTCACACAACAATGGCTAGCGTTTGAGTAGAAATTATGAACCCTGTATATAGATGATAAAATGAGTCTGTTCCATTCTTTTTTTATAAGTATTAGGAGATAATAAAATGTATGTATAAACAGACAGTTATCCACAAAACTGAATTGCTAGAAATTAATCAAAAAATTGAAAGTTTAGAGCAAAATAAAACTGGTGGTGGTCTTCTCCCCCCATTGCCCCACTTCAAATATATTGGCCTAAAGCTTAAAGGACCACTATAGGCACCCAGACCACTTCAGCTTAATGAGGATTAACCCCTTTTTTTTTTTTTATAAACATAGCAGTTTCAGAGAAACTGCTATTATTATAAATGGGTTAATCCAGCCTCTAGTGGTTGTCTCTTGACAGCCGCTAGAGGCGCTTGCGTGCTTCTCACTGTGAAAATCACAGTGAGAAGTCGCCAGCGTCCATAGGAAAGCATTGTAAATGCTTTCCTATGAACTGGCTGAATGCTCGCGCGGCTCCTGCCGCGCATGCGCATTCAGCCAATGATGTCGCTATGGAGGAGGAGAGCTCCCCGCCCGGCGCTGGAGAAAGGTAAGATTTTAACCCCTTCCTCTCCCCAGAGCCCGGCGGGTGGGGGCACCCTCAGGGCACTATAGTGCCAGGAAAACAAGTGTGGTCCTTTAACAGTTCACAGAAATGTGCAATTAAGATAACGCTGCTTGTCTTGTAATCTAATTAAAATAAAGTACGAGGTCCTGTTAAAAATTGGCATTCTGCATGAACATGTTATACGTACGGTTTGGAAGTGGTTTCTTAGATGCTCCAGGCGCGTGAATCTTTTGCCACAAGCCTCGCAGGGATATGGGCGCTCTCCCGTATGGCAGCGCAGGTGCCGTTTAAGATCTGCTTTTCGTTTTACAGTGTGGGTGCAAAAGGGGCACTTAAATCTAACCGGGCTTAGATCATCTAAAAGATAGATGAATAAAGGTAAAGTTAAATGTAGAAATAATAGTAAAGTTTCTAGATACTGATGTAGTACTTTTAGTTTGTTTGAAAGTTTTTTTTGCCTGTATATTTAAAGTCTAAACGCAAAAAGGATGCCCCAAGTGGAAGGAATCTGTAGTGTGTCAAGAGAACTTATAACAGGGGGAACCTTTTAAAATTCAAAAATGAACACTGAAATGATCCAAGGACATTAAGTCCAGAGGACACAAAGTTCCCTAGGTTTGCAAATGAATATACACAGTTAAACTCACATTTCATTGAAGAACATAAGTATCAAAGTAAAATAATCACACCACATCTAAATTCCTAAGGAGAGCTAATGAGAAACTTAGAAACTGGCAACAAGAGGCTACATAGTTTAATTTGCTGGTTCACTCGCATCTAGGACTACAGCCTGGCTTCATTGCAAGTGATACATACTTTCATTCTTTTCACCATCTGGCGAGGGTTATAGTATTTAGATTTCCAACTGATATTTCATTTACTATTCACCATTCAGTAGCCTCCTATAGTCAGCTATCCCTTCTCCCCATCAGGTTTGCTGAGCTCATTAGCTCTCCTTAGGGATTTAGATGTGGTGTGATTATTTTACTTTGATACTTATGTTCTTCAATAAAATGTGATTTTAACTGCGTATATTAATTTGCAAACCTTAGGGAACCTGGACTTCATGTCCTTGGATCACTTCAGTATATTTAAAGTCTATCCTAGACTCAAACTGTAACATGGCAGTATGGATTTCTTTATTAGACTTCACTTACCTTCACTCCATCCAGTAGAAACCCCCAGGATTGTTGGCATTGCCTTGTATAGTTCATCTGCCTTTGAAATCTGTGGCATGACATCTTGGTCTCCAGATTCCACATTCTGTGGTGAATCCGGCCAGCTATGTGTTAAGGCCTCTTCATCCTCTTCCTCTGCTTTAGAACCCAGTCTAGCAGCTTGAGATGAGGACTCCTCTTCATTTGTTGCACAATCTCTTGACTCCTCATCATGCATCATACACTCTGCAGAACCTCCAACAAGGTCACCCAATGGGAGAGATGAAATAGAAGCTGGAGTCAATGGCTCGGGCATCAGACGTCTGCGGTGTTTACGCACATATTCTGGTTTGCGTGAATGCTTGCTGAATGGACGTTGCAACCTGGAGATGATGGGAGGTGGGTAATTGTATCCAGCAATGAATCCACCATGTTCTGCTGCCTCGTGGGCATGTGTTGGGCTGTTTTCAGACCTCCACCCTGCTGCATAGAGTCCACAGCCATTACTGCCAGAATCTTTGTCGGACAGGCTGAAGAAACCATCCTTGTCCTTCTCATTGATATCCAAAGAAGATTTAATGAACATCTTGCACACATTGATCACATCAGTCATCTGCAGATAACTGGCTGCGGACATAACTTCAATAACATTTTGGCCCGAGAGAGGAAGCTTGCCAGAGTATACATAATCAAGTATGGCAGTAAATGTGTCTGCAGAAAAGACGTCAAAGGTGGCTGTGGTAGGCTGTCCCACATCTTTGCAGCTTTGAGACAGAAGCATTTTGAAGTAACCACTGCTGGCAAACAGAACATTACGGTGAGCCTTAAACATCTTCCCCTCCACTAGAATATTACAGTCGCAGAATAGATCTCTCCGCCGCTGATCATCCAATTGCTGCAGGAGGCGAGTGTGATGAGAGGAGAAATCCATCCTTTGTCAGGGCACTGAGAAACAGAATCAAAAGGTCAACTTGGGCAAAATGTCTGGACATCAGAACAGGCTGCAGTACTGATCTAAACTAATACTGCTATTGATTAAACCCCAAATTGTATTGAATTCAAAATAGCCTATCTGTAAAAACAGACTAGTTGAGTTCTAATTTATCACAATTTGGAGTTGTGAATTATCAAAAATCTCATGTTGTCAGGCCAGAGTAACCAAATTAGAAAACAAAACCTCCAAATCTGCTATGTCTGTAGTTCACGTATTTTGGGCTAACATTTCAAATGCACTTGGAATTCACACTTTAGTGATTAAGTATCCTAATAATCCATATTTATACAATATGTAGTTGTACTATAGGAAAGGTCTTTTGTATTATTCATGACATTAAACACTCAATGTCAAAGATTTGATGTGGTCATGGTACCTGTAATTTGTATGTATATTTTGCTATAAAATGCTGCACATACTGATTTCAACCCCTTGTAACTCTACCTTAGGCAATGTCATTTGGTGTCATTCGCTTGCATGGAATAAGATTAATCAATTATGCATTTAAAACAAATTCTAGCCCTGATGTGCCAGTGGAAACAAGTGCAGATGACAGAAAAATTTAAATTTCCCTCCACAATGTATTTCTGTAGTTAAGACTCCTCAAATCTTCAAACATAAAAACCGAATACAAAATCTACAGAAAAAACCCACAAAACATGCATGGAGCAGTATTGCTTGCACCACACCAAATACATTTGATTAATGAATAGTAGGCATATCACCAATCTTCTGATTTTCTCCAATTCATGTAAAATAAAACCACATTTTGCAGATATTTTAAAATACCAATATTTAATAAAGAAGAGCAATATCCGAATAGTGCATATCTCCACTGTGTGAGTGGAATATCATAATCCAGGCTCCAGATGACAAGTAGAAGGAGTTGCCAGCCAATAGAATTCCTCTAAGTGGGATATTTTCAACAAGTTTTAAAATGAAGATAAACAACCCTGTGCATTTCATCTGGTGCGTCCAGACTTCCTCGGAGATTAAGTGGTACTATACACCTCCCATCCTAAATGTTCAGATATACCCTTGAAGTCCGCCCCCTATAAACCATACATTTTCTTTAACCTCCATTGTTTTGAGATTGTTTTCCATAACAGCGAAGTGTCACTTACGCTACATGCTAAGCCATGTGTGCGTTCCACTACCTGTGCACTCTGGAGCCATGTTCACAAAGTCCCAGTTCTATCGTTTCATTTTCCTCTATAGAGTAGTTACTGATAAGAGCATTGCCAGATGACTAGATAGAATATCCTATAGTAACCAAATCCAGTGCAGTATATCCTGCATTGCCAGTTGTTAGACTACCAAAGCGGTGTCCTAGCATTTAGTGCAGGTTTCCCAAAACACACGGCCTTTCAGTTATTGCTGAACTACAACTCCCATGATTCTCAGCCTATCTATTTCATTCATAGAATCATGGGAGTTGTAGTTCAGCAACATCTGGAGGGCTGGAGTTTGGGGAAGCCTGATTTGGTGTAACAGTTAGTGGTGCAGGTTAGGTAAAAGAAACCATCCATGGACGATAGCATGCCTGAACTGGTACACCTTCAATGCCAGAGACGCCAGCGTCATAACGTCACAGATACAAAACTCAACCAAAACTATATTAGGTTTGGTCTCAATAAATCTAACCGAATAAACAGAAAATTAAGACATTTATATATATATATAAATTTTAAAAAAAAGAGAAGACCTGAATGAAATAAAAACCATATGCTAAAAAATGATTAAATTTGTAAAAATAATACTGAACAAATTGAATTTAAAGAAAACAAACCATATCCAAATCTGTATTGAAACCTTTAGGATGTAAAGTTTTGAGTCTTCTAATTCCATAACCCAACTTTTCTTCAACAGCTACATAGTACAAATGATCAAACCTAACCTTAGGGCAACTTTTACAATGATTGGGTATGGAATAATCCCTTATTTTTCTTTTATTCATGTTTTCCATAAATCTTACTTTAACCTGCCTTCCTGTCCTCCCAACATATTGCAAACCACGCCCAGAGGTGAGTAAGTATCCAATATATGCTGAGGTACAGGAAACTTGTTCTTGAATTGTACAGCTTTCATTGGTTTGGAAACTTTTTTTTAAATTGAAGTGGAATGGGTAAGGTATTTACAACCCTTACAACATCTACGTGTGGGAAAAAACAAGGTATTTGAAAAACTATTGGTACTAGTGTGTTTTTCAAATTCTTTGAATTTTTAAAAATAATGAGGGCACTCGGAGTAATATTGATCTTAAAATGTTGTCCTCGAACAATAGAGGCCAGTATTTTCTCTTCTCTTATTTTAAATTTGCTTAATAGCATCAGCTGTCATGTTATACGGGAGTATTAAAAGAAAACTAATTTCTTATTCAAAATGTTACTCTCATATAATAATATATTGCCTTTTTCTTGGTTTACCAACAAGCATGTCAAACTTGTGGCCCAGCAAGCCGCCAATTTTGCCATGCTTAGTTTACAATTTTTATGAGTTTCTTGATTAAGGAAGTACTCATTAGAACCATTTTCAAAAACTTCTCTTTAAAGGAAAAGAGCTTGTTCAAAATATTAGTCCTCATCTGAACAGTTCCTCCAGATCCTTGCAAATTAACCTTTCGGTACACTCTAATCATTGAGGATGGTTCTACGATTCATCTCTATAAAGCTTTTAGCATCTATTCATCTAATAAAAAAATTAAAAAAAAAATCACAAGATCTAAAAAAAAAAATTAAATAAAAAAAAAAATTGATAGACTCTTTACTAATTTCGAAGGAAATCTTAAAAATAGTGAACTATCGGGGCCGGAGCCTGACTAGCAAGCTGACAGGATGTACTCCGCATGAGCTCCTGCTGTACGGGCTCAAACTATGCTGCTATCTTGGGCTACAGTGCTGCGATTCTCCCACAACAAAGTTTACTGGAATGGGGAAGCATGTGCGAACCCTGCGACACTTCTCTCGACACCCGGCATGACCGGGAACCGCAGCAGCAAGTTGGGGCCTACTAGAGGAGACGAGGGGGAAGGACGGCCGCCTTCCCGCCTGATGCCAAACGCCTCATGCGAGCACAAACTTTACTTTATTTTCCTAAAAAATAGTGCAACATATTTCCATACCATCTTCAGGGCACAACAAAGTCCCACGCTACAGACTCCCACACTAAGGGCCCTCCCGGGCTGAGAGCAGCAGGGGCGCATCCCATAGGTGCCGGCCACACCAGCGGAGGGCAGCAAGATGCAAGCGATGATGACCTGAGTAGGACAACAAGACCCCCCCCCCGCACCATCCCAAAAGTGACGACCCTGGACCACGGCAGATCCCAGGCTCGTGTCAAGAGGGCACCAGCTCTCACACAGCACCGGGGTAGAAGGGAAACCTCACCTCAACGATGCCCAATGAGACAGAACCCCAATGAGAGACACCCACTTGGAAAGAATTTGGCCTCCAGCGGCCACCGAGTTCATGGCAGCGAGGTACTGGTCCCATCGCAGGCCGGGGGCAGGAGCGCCGCCTCACACTGACCCTGCACTGACCCACCCTCATGAACTGTACCCACATGGAAGTTTTGAACGCTACCTTGCTGCATCGCAGGAATTCGGGGTTGCCCTGGCAGCCATCGGCTAATTAAGATACCTATGCCTGAGAAATCTCCACTGCCATGGTCGCTTTGCAGAGACCCATACGCAGCATAGGGTGAAGAAATCAGGCGGAGGTTTTCTCAAATCTACCACAGAACTGTACTTGCGTTCCTTTTATGATTTCATATTCTGTTGTATAATATTCTTGCTATTTGCATTTTTGTCTCCTACTCTATAGTTGGAATTGCATGCTACAACTCAAGGGCATAATGCCCTCAATCTTTTTGGTAATTTTATTCTTCTTGTTACTCATGCCTATGATATGCCCATTGTAAAGCGCTGCGGAATTCCCATTGTAAAGCGCTGCGGAATTTGATGGCGCTATATAAATACAATAATAATAATAATATGCCTTCTTCAATTGTATAAATCTCCTTACTCTCATGATTAGAGGGCTTTCTCTGATTTAAGCTTAAATCTGCACGGGAAAAAACGAGCTCAGTTTGATTCCTACAGCTTTATTCTTTTGACCTCTACACATGGATAGCAATTAACTCCCAATGATGCGGCAATGAAACAACCCTCTGATCCACAACGCCTAGCATAACGTTTTATTACCTGAAACAAAAGAGCGTGAATAGTCTAAATCTTAGATTGTTTTCAGTTCAAGTGTAGTCCACCATAGTGATTTATATGCAAGACAGAATTCGTCCAGTGACGCATGTCTACTCAGTAAATCTTCTTATTGACATAACTACCTGAATAATCAAACAGTTTAAATCACTCGGTGAAAGCTTATGCCTAATTTACTTTATCTTGTAAGTAGAAGTATAGATCAGGGTGTTGCCGTGGATGTGATCTTTTTGGATTTTGCCAAGGCATTTGATACAGTTCCACACAATAGATTAGTGTTCAAACTCAAGGAAATCGGTCTAGATGAAAATGCTTGTTCTTGGGTAGAACATTGGCTTAAAAACAGAGTACAAAGAGTTGTCATTAATGGTAAATTTTCAAGCTGGACAGAGGTGGCAAGTGGTGTCCCTCAGGGGTCTGTTCTGGGACCCCTTCTATTTAACATGTTTATAAATGATCTTGAAGACCGCATTGAAAGTCATGTTTCAGTGTTTGCAGATGACACAAAACTTTGTAAAACAATACAATGTGAGCAAGATATTACTTTGCTGCAGAGGGATTTAGATAGACTGGGAGACTGGGCACTCAAATGGCAGATGAAATTTAATGTTGAAAAATGCAAAGTTATGCACTTCGGCGTAAAGAATACACAAGCAACGTATACCCTTAATGGAAGCGAATTAGGGATAACAACACATGAAAAGGACTTGGGAATTGTTATAGACAACAAACTATGCAACAATGTGCAATGTCAATCAGCAGTGGCCAAGGCCAGTAAGGTATTGTCATGCATGAAAAAGGGCATTCATTCTCGGGACAAGAATATAATTTTGCCTCTTTATAAATCACTGGTAAGACCCATATTGAATATGCTGTGCAATTTTGGGCACCTGTTCTAAAGAAGGATATTATGGCACTAGAAAAAGTGCAGAGGCGGGCTACAAAATTAATAAAAGGAATGGAACATATCGGCTATGAAGAAAGGTTAACAAATTTAAACCTATTTAGTTTAGAAAAACGTCGCCTGAGAGGGGATATGATAACATTATACAAATATATTCGGGGCCAATACAAACCATTGTGTGGAAATCTATTCACAAACCGGACTTTACATAGGACACGAGGCCATGCGTTTAGACTGGAAGAAAGAAGATTTCGTCTAAGGCAAAGGAAAGTTTTTTTACTGTAAGAACAATCAGGATGTGGAATTCTCTGCCTGAAGAAGTGGTTTTATCAGAGTCCATACAGATGTTCAAACAGCTACTAGATGCATACTTGCAAAAACAGAATATTCAAGGATATAATCTTTCAATGTAGGGTAATAACTGCTTGATCCAAGGATAAATCTGACTGCCATTCTGGGGTCAAGAAGGAATTTTTTTCCTAGCTTGTTGCAAAATTGTGCTTCAAACTGGGTTTTTTTGCCTTCTTTTGGATCAACAGCAAAAAACAAATGTGAGGAAGGCTGAACTTGATGGACGCAAGTCTCTTTTCAGCTATGTAACTATGTAACTATCTTGTTTTACTTTACTTTATTTTCCTAAAAAATAGTGCAACATATTTCCATACCATGCCTATGTACCATTATATATGATAATGATTGTCTGCTGATGCTGTTGTGTATCGGAAACTTGGTTGTAACTACCCGCACTGCAATAATAAAGAATTTTAAATACAAAAATAGTGAATTATCATTGATAAACTTAACAAAATCTTCCAAAGTTTCCTCAGATTCACTCCAAATTATTAGAATATCATCAAAGCCATATCCCCAAGTCTGCACTAAAAGGGTTATAATCTTAAATCTCCCCTAGTAATCCATTAAGATGTTGGCATAAGTTGGCACATACTTGGTGCCCATGGATGTCCCACTGATTACCATATAGAGAGATGTAACATCAAATAAGGCCCATAAATAATTAAACTTTTATTCAATGGAATCAAATTCTTGAATAAGAAGTTTATTGTTTTTTAGTTATGATTTTGCCATTTGGGCATACTTCTGTAAATAGAAATCAATCGTCTCTAAAGACTTTAATATGTTTTTTTTAAAGTTTGTTTTTTCATTATATTTTTTCACATTGATCCTTTTTTCATATTTATATATATATAAAAATGTGTATTTCTTTTGTTTATTCAGTTAATTATTTTTTTTAGACCAGACCTAATATATTTTGGTTGAGTTTGGTATCCAGATACCTAACATTATTATTATCTATGATCAACTATGAAAATGTATTTGTTAATTTGAACCTCATCCCTTTGTCCATGTTTTATCTATGTAGGAGGCCTTTACTTCTAGGGGAGGAATTATATCACTGGGACTTTAGGAACATTGATACGGAGTGTACAGGTAGTGGAACGCATGGAGTGCACGTTAAAGTGCACGCCAGCTACATAGCACATGCGTGGCTTGGCACATGACATAGATGGCACTTCAAAGGCATGCAATTCAAGTGGAAAAGATGTATGAAACACAACATCAAAACAATGGATTACAGGTGGAGGCTGAAGAAAATGACTGCGAATGGCAAACAGTGGGCAGACTTGAAAGGTATATATGAAATTTTAGGACGAGAGGTGTGTTTTTAACCCATGTGGAAGTCTGGACCAAGATGAAACACGTATTATTTTGTTTTTGATTTATTTTTAAAGCTTGTTTTAACATATCCCACTAAGAGGACTTCTATTGGCTACCAACTCCATCTATTGTTTGGCTGTAGCATAGACATAGAACACCTAGACGCCGCATTGTGTGCTAAGCGGCGAGGAATGCGGCCGCCATCTTGGACCAGTCGCCACTCTACTGAAGCTATTGAAGAACCCTTAGAAAGTCCATCTCACAAAAGGTAAGTGAAGGACTTGGGGCACTTAATACCCCTACCCCTTAATACCTCTACCCCATGTCATTAATACCCCTACACCAGCACACACAGTGTTAATACCTCTACCCCTAATCCTACCCCTTAATACCCCTAAAGTGTTAATACCCCTACCGCAGCCTATCCCAGCACACACAGTGTTAATACCCCTACCCCAGCACACGATGTGTATTAACACTGTGTGTGCTGGGGTAGGGGTATTAACACTGTAGGGGTAGGGGTATTAATGACATGGGGTAGGGGTATTAAGGGGTAGGGGTATTAAGAACTAGGACAAAGGGTATTAAGGGGTAGGGGTATTAAGGACTATAAGTGCCCCAAGTCCTTCACTTACCTTTTGTGAGATGGACTTTCTAAGGGTTCTTCAATAGCTTCAGTAGAGCGGCGACCGGTCCAAGATGGCGCCCCCATTCCTCGCCGCTCAGCACACAATGCCATAGACGTGCGGCGTCTATGTGTTCTATGTCTTTGGGCTGTATACTGCAGGAGCCTGGATTCTGATGTTCCACTCACATAGTGAAAATATGGATGGATGTGATATTTTGTAAGTGAAATTCTTAATTAAATATTGGTATTTTAAAGATATGCACAATGTTGTTTTTATTTTACATGAACTAACTGGAGAAAATAAGAATATTGGAGACAGTCATTTGGTGATATGTCACCTATTAATATCTTGTGAATGCAAGAATGTCAATTCTATGCATATTTCTATGCACAGGTACTATGGAAAAGCATTGCCTTTCCTGAAATCCTCAAGCTTGATAATTTTTAAAAATTATTTTAAATAAAATCCACCAAGCCTCCCTACCTTTGGGAGAGCTGTAGTGGATCACCTTTGCATGGGGTTCAGTGGGGCTGCTGTCATCTTCCTACTCTGCTCCCTCTCGTTCAGTTTAGTGATGCCGGGGCATGAGTGACATCATATTCAGTCTCTCGGCATCACTGCAATGCGTGTGAGGAAGCAGAGCAGGAGGACTACAGCTCCCTTGCCACCGCCATTCTGCACAACCGGCCGGCCCTCTCTACTCTCCATCAGCCGGCCACCTGCATTCACCTTTGATTCCTGCGCTGAGCAGGCTGACGAATCCCAGGCGTCAGGACAAAATTTATAGTCGCCATGGCAACCTGGCGCCTGGGATTTGTCTAGCCCTGGGGCATTAAACATGCCTGTTTTCCGTCATATCCATGGCTATTAGTACATTTTAAGCACACACAGAGTCCTTTCAAAGTTGCTTTGCTACCAACTGTAGCATGGTTTTCCTTTTATTATTTACTGAACTTTGTTGACATTAAATATTTTAGGACAAAATTGCCAAACTCAAAAAAAAAAATTCTTCCACTCTGATACTTTTGTAGCTTGGGAGTAGAATAAAGAGTGCCACCCTACAACGCTGATTTTGGCAGGACACTTCTATGGCAGACAAAGGATAAAGGGATAAAACCACTTGAAATTAAATACAATTACTCCCTAGAATATTTGCCATTTTTGTTCTGCATAGAGTTAAGTTATGTTGCATAGAGATGGGACACAAAAATGAATAAAGACAACGCTGCGGGACAAAAGTGTCCTGCCAAAATCAGCGTTGTAGGGTGGCACTCTTTATTCTACACCCAAGCGAATTGATCTGCCTGTGAGTTTTAGCTATGGAGTCCTATTTGTTTCTTCATTCAGCTTTTTAAAAACTCAAGAGCTTAATAAAAGTTATAGATAGTGCCCTTTAATTTTAACCCATTAGTGACCAGACCGCTTTTCAATTTTCTTACCGTTTGGGACCAGGGCTGTTTTTACATTTCTGGGGTGTTTGTGTTTAGCTGTAATTTCCCTCCTACTCATTTACTGTACCCACGCATATTATATACTGTTTTTCTCACCATGAAATGGTCTTTCAAAAGATACCATTATTTTCACGTCATACAATTTACTATAAAGAAAACTATAAAATATGACGAGAAATGTAAAAACAAAAAACAAAAAACAAACACTTTTTCTAACTTTGACCCCCAAAATCTGTTACACATCTACAACCGTCAAAAAACGCCCATGCTACATAGTTTCTAAATTTTGTCCTGAGTTTAGAAATACCCAATGTTAACATGTTCTTAGCTTTTTTTTGCAAATTATAGGGCAATAAGTACAAGTAGTACTTTGCGATTTCCAAACCATTTTGTTTTCAAAATTAACGCAAGTTACATTGTAACACCTATCTGTCAGGAATCCCTGAATAACCCTTCACCGGTAAGACAACCTAAGGTATTAAACTTGGGGTATTTTGACTCTTCTCATGCTCATTTCATGCAACCATTTTACCACTAATCTATGCCAAATAAAAAAATTAAAATTAAAATTGGTGTTTTTTTTGACACACATAGCAATTTAAGAATAGATGTACTGAGGACTTTAAGGGTTACTGCCAAAGAACACCCCAATATGTGTTCAGCAACAGCTCCTGAGTACAGGGATACCACCCATGTTTAGGTGTGTCAGGTTATCTGGGGGCTAAAAGACCTTATTTGGAGGGTGCGCATTCTAGTTTTCCAACTTGGAATTTTCACAGCTGGTCATCATGCACCCATGACCTATTTGAGACATTTTTTAAGCTGGCCAATGTAATTTATCCCCATCAAACCATATATTTTTAAAGTAGACCACCCATGGTATTCAAAATGCGGTAGGTCCACTCTATTTTAGTAGCCACAAACCCTGGCCAAAATTAGCATGTATATTTGTTTTTTGCATTCTTTACACATAAACTGCCATTTCACCGATTATAGTATCAGTATAATACATTTTACTGCTCTAAAACACTCATATTTGTGTAGAGTAATGTCTCACGAGTACAACAGTACCCCTCAAGTATAGGTTTTATGGTGATTTGGAAAGTTACAGGGTCAAACAAGATTTGCCAATTTCGTTTTTTTGTGAATGGTATGCCATCATGGGGGTAATTCTTATTCCTGGGCTACCATAAGATCTAAAAAGGCAACATAACCAATTTGGCAAATTGCAATGAAAAAAAAATAGTTGACCCTGTAACTTTCAAAAACACTATAAAACCAGTACCTGGGGGGTACTGTTGTACTCGGGAGACTTTGCTGAATACAAATATGCATATTACAAAACAGTAAAACGTATCACAACAATGATAGTCAGTGAAAGTGCAGTTTTTGTTTTTAAAAAAAATGCAAAAAACTTATAAAAACGCTAACTTTGGCCAGCGTTTGTGAACGGCCACATGGACAGCTTCAGGTATGTAAATCTACCTTCAACGGAACCCCACAACTAGGAGTTTTCCAGATAACAAACCAAATCAAGCCATCAAGTGGCTACTACAAAAGACTGAACATACCCTATTTTGAATACACTGGGTTGTCTACATTTGCAAATGGTATGCCATGATGGCGTTCACTCACATTCCTGAGCTACCATATGGTCTCAAAAGGCAACATAGACCCAGCAAACCAATCTGGCAAACTGAATTGGGCAAGCCCTATATTGACCCTGTCTCTTTCCAATACAACCTAAAATCTGTACATGGGGGGTACTGTTTTACTCGGGAGACTTCGCTGAACAGAAATATTAGTGATTCAAAACCATAAAACATGTCACAGTGATGATATTGTCTGTGAAAGTTAAGTTTTTTGCATTTCTCATACAAAAACGGCACTTTCACTGACGATATCATTGTTGTGATATGTTTTACTCTTTTGAAACACTGATATTTGTGTTCAGCGAAGTCTCCTGAGTACTGGTTTTATAGTGTTTTTGAAAGTTACAGGGTCAAATATAATGTTTGCCCATTTTATTTTTTTAATTAAAATTTGCCAAATTGGTTATGTTGCCTTTGAGACCACATGGTGGCCCAGGAATAAGAATTACCCCCATCATGGCAAAAAATTTGCAAATATAGACAACCCAAGGTATTGCAAAATTAAGTTAAGTCTCCCGAGGATAACAGTACCCCCCCATGTACAGGTTTTATAGCATTTTTGAAAGTTACAGTGTCAAATATATGGGTCAAATATTTTTACATTGAAAAAGGCCAGGTTGGTTTCGTTGCCTTTGAGAGCATTTGGTAGCCCAGGAATGAAAATTACCCCCATGATGGCATACCATTTGCAAAAGAAGACAACCCAAAGTATTGCAAATGGGGTATATCCAGTCTTTTGTAGTAGCCACTTAGTCACGAACACTGGCCAAAGTTAGCGTTTTTACAGTTTTTTTGCATTTTTTAAAACAAAAACTGCACTTTTACTGGTGATATCATCGTCGTGCTAGGTTTACTGTTTTGAATAACTCATATTTGTATTCAGCGAAGTGTCCCAAGTATAACAATACCCCCTTATGTACAGGTTTTATGGTGTTTTGGAAAGTTACAGGGTCAAAAATAAGGCATGCCTATTTCATGTTTTTCATTAAAATTTGCCATATGGGTATGTAGCCTTTGAGACTTACCCCCATGATGGCATACCTTTTGCAAAAGTAGACAACCCAAGGTATTGCAAATAGGGTATGTCCAGTTTTTTTCTAGTAGCCACTTAAATCACAAAAACTGTCCAGAATTAGCATTCATATTCTTTTTTTTGCATTTTTCACACAGAAATATAAATGCTAACTTTGGCCAGTGTTTGTGACTACTACAGTGGCTACTACAAAAGACTGGACATACCCCATTTTGAATACCCTAGGTTGTCTACTTTTTCAAATGGTATGTCATGGTAGGGTTAATTTTCATTTCTAGGGTGCCATACCGTCTCAAAGGCAACATAGCCAATCTGGCAAATAGCAATTTACAAAATTAGAAATTGGCAAATCTTATGTTTGACCCTGTAACTTTCCAAATCACCATAAAAGCTATACTTGAGGGGTACTGTTGTACTCGTGAGACATTACTCTACATATAGAATGTAGAATGTGTGTGTGTGTGTATATATCTCAAAGTACACTTATAATGCAATCATATATATGCATTATCTATGTATAATATAAAATTATTTAAATATTTTATAATACACATATATAATATATTTATTTTTACATTTTAGGGACCTGGGGGACTGCCTGATTGCTCAGACAGTCCCCCTGCTGGCAGCTCCATAGACTTTCATTGCGGCCATGTGATCATGGTGATCACATGGCCCTGGAGGGCCGGAGAGGACAGAGCTGCAGCAGGGGGACTGCTGGGATTTTGGGCAGTAAAACCTGGATCGCAAGTACAGGTGAGTCCCTGGATCATTTTAGCCACGGATATGCAGGGTACGTCCGCGGTCATTAACTGACGTTTTTTGTCGGACGTATCCTGCACGTCCGAGGTTGGGAAGAGGTTAACCCCTTGACGACCGATGACGGTTCAGGATCGTCATCGGAAAAATCCGCTTGGGGACCAATGACGGTCCTGAACCGTCATAACGGTCTGTGGCTACTTACCTGATCGCCGTCAGTCCCACGGCGGCGATGAGCGCTCCTCCCGGTCCAGGGGGACTGCCTGTCTGCCCGGGCAGTCTCCCCTCGGCAGATCAGGACCCCGCGGCCACGTGATCACTCGATCACGTGGCTGCAATAGGTGCCTGTGTATCTGCCTCCAGGGGGACTGTCTGTGCTGACAGGCAGTCTCCCTGCAAGTATAAAATCTGAAAAAAAGTGTAAAAAAAATAAATAATATATATATATATATATATACACACACACACACACACATCAAAAATATAATGTCATACTAAGTGTATTTTTATATTTATATATACGTATATTAATATAAAAATACACTTAATTTAAATTACACACGTATATATACACACACACACACTATATATATATATATATATAATAACTATATATATTGTATATATATTATAAATTAGAAATATGTTAATAATAAATAAAAAGCAAAAATAATTTTTAATAAATTTTTTTTATATATATATATATATGTAATTTTATTCTAATAGTATTTTGATATAAATATATATATCAAAATGCACTTAGAATGTAATGCTATATATATCTATCTATGTATAAATAAAAATAATACGAAATATACATATGTCCATATACATAATTACATAAATAATTTCATAACTATACACGTAGACGTCAAATATATAAATATGTATATATATTAAAATTCTACGTGCGTATTTATGTAATATTTTTACCTAATTAAGTAATTTTAATGATTGCAATTTGAGGGACCTGCCTGCCAACCCAGACCGAAAGTCCAGAGAATTTAATTTGCTAGCACTGTGTTTAACCCTGTAACTTTCTATGACACCCTAAAACCTGTACATGGGGGGAACTGTTTTACTCGGGAGACTTCGCTGAACACAAATATTAGTGTTTCAAAACAGTAAAACATATCACAGCGATGATATTGTCAGTGAAAGTGACATTTTTTGCATTTTTCACACACAAACGGCACTTTCACTGATGATATTATTGCTGTGATACATTTTACTGTTCTGATACACTAATATTTGTGTTCAGCGAAGTCTCCTGAGTATAACAGTACCCCACATGTAGAGGTTTTATAGTTTTTGTGAAAGTTACAGGGTCAAATATAAGGCTTGATTTTACTTTTTTTTATTGAAATTTGTCAGATTGGTTAGGTTGCCTTTGAGAGCGTATGGTAGCCCAGGAATGAGAATTACCCCCATGATGGCATACCATTTGCAAAAGAAGACAACCCAAGGTATTGCAAATGGGGTATGTTCAGCCTTTTTTAGTAGCCACTTAGTCACAAACACTGGCCAAAGTTAGCGTTTTTTTGCATTTTTAACACACAAACAAATATAAATGCTAACTTTGGCCAGTGTTTGTGACTAGGTGGCTACTAAAAAAGACTGGACATACCCCATTTTGAATACCCTGGGTTGTCTACTTTAAAAAAATAATGTACATGTGAGGTGTGATTCGGGGATTTATGACAGATAACTGTGTTACAATGTCACTATTGATAAATTTAAAATATATATATATTGAAACAGCAATTTCCTACTTGTATTTATAGGCCTATAACTTGCAAAAAAAAAGCAATAAAGCATGTAAACACTGGGTGTTTTTAAACTCGGGACAAAATTTTGAATCTATTTAGCAGTTTTTTTCATTAGCTTTTGTAGATAAGTAAAAGATTTTTCAAGTAAAAGTCCAAAAACATGTTTTTTTTTCAATTTTTCACCATATTTTATTATTTTTTTTAAATAAAATATATGACATGATACAAATAATGGTATGTAAAGAAAGCCCTTCTTGTCCTGAAAAAAACAATATATAACTTGTATGGGAACTGTAAATGAGAGAGAGGAAAATTACAGCTAAACACAAACACCACAAAAGTGTCAAAACTGCTCTGGTCCTTAACGTACAACATCGCAAAAACAGGCCGGTCCTTAATTAAGGGGTTAAACATAACACAAGCCGCATTTGTTTTTGGTTTTGTTTTCATTTTATTGTTTACGTGTCCTTTCAAGCTTGGTATATGAATTCAATTGAAGCAGTTATGTCACTTTTCAGTATTTCATAAAGATGATATTTGTATAATACTGATGCTGACACCATAAGGCAAAGTATGGACTACTTTGTTTTATGGATAATCCTGAGCTTGACAAAAGTTTGAGTTTTGCCATGAACTTTTGTCCAATCCCTGTACTTATCACAGGTGATGGCTGTGGGATTTAGGCATGGTCTCACTCAGTGTAAGACAATCTATCAATCCTATAGACCAGGGGTAGGCAACCTTTTAGCAGCACTGTGCCGATATAGGATTGTGATGTCCCGTAGCGTGCCAGTCCTATTTTTTTAAATTGAGGTGTGTATGTTGCCTTATTCTGCTTGTGTTATTTATACTGTAATCGCTTTGTATCATTGTATTTGTTTGTATATGAGCTATTATATTGTATATGTTCAGGAGTAGTTTGTGGTATCGTGTATGATACATATGAATGTGGGCTGCTTGTGGAATTGTGTGTGTGTGTGTGTGGATGGATATGTCACATTGTGTGTTTGGTAGTGTGTGTATGTGTGGGGCTGTTTGGGTTATTGCATGTGGGGTTGTGTGCATGTATGTGGATTGTTAGCAGGTTACGTTTGTGCGGATTGTGTGGCAAAACTAGCCACTTAAGACTGTATGTGTATTAATGTGTTGCTGTGACTAAGAATGTTAGAACCAAGCGTGTACCTATTTCTTCATTTTATGCGAACGAGAGCATTCGTATGCTGGCGGCAGGAAAGCCACCAGCATTCATACAGTAGTTTCACGAACAGTGAATTTCAACACTGTTCGTGAAACGAACAAACTACCGAATAGGAGACCACACACACAGGAGGTCGTGCGGCTCCCATTAAGTATTGCAACAATGTATCCTTCGGTAATTATTGAGATTCAGGGTGGCCGCTGTTCGGCTACCGACCACGCGGCGGTCGTCCATCTTGGATCCTTTGTTAGCCTAGCGGTATTTGGTCGTCGAGCGTCTGGAACTAAAATCGGCTACTCAACGGCACGAATACCGCTGGACTTCCAGTCCGTTCGGGAGTACCAGTCATTCTGTAGTTTGTTCCCTTAGATGCATTCGGTACTTTAAGATGCATGTAAAATAATATGTGTTTTCGTGCGGCGTTCGGTTATTTATGCTGGCATCTGAGCGGTACTTTCACGAAAGGTGTGCTCAGACCCCAGCGATCTACCGAATGGTCATTCGGTAAAATAACACGAATAATGTGAAAGTTATGTATTTTTGTGTGAAATGTCAGTTCTGCTGCACGGAGGGATAATCCACTTAACTGGATATTCTAGTGGGAGTATCCCACTTGTGCAGCAGTGCATGATGGGAGAAATGTCCGGGTTGTTAAGTTCCCCATGTAGTCCCCTACTGTACAACCCCTGTAATGTCAGTATGGAAACCCCTTGCATGGGGAATCCCATAAATACTGTGACCTGTGATTAAAAGCTCAGTTGACTCCCAGCCTATGTGTCGTCTAGTTCTTGGGAAGGAAGGATTTATACAACGCTAGCGGGATTATTGCATGCTGTACTTATTTTGCTTGAAGGATTTTATGCTGTTCCTGTTACCCAGCGGAGACACTGTGGATTATACTACCTCTCCGCTACAGATTGCATGTATGTTTGTGTGCGGGCTGTTTGTATTATTTGTATGAGGGGAGAGTTATTGTGCATTTCTGTGTATATCTAGCAGTGTGGGTGGCTTCCCTGGGTTCCAGGCTGGCCAGGTACAGGAGCAGTAACAGCAGCTGCGAGCTGCTCTACTACAGTGTGGATTCCAATTCACAAGTGCTGGAATGAAGTGCTCTGAGATCACTTCCTCTACGTGCTGCAATGCATAAATTGAGGATTGTCCTTCACCACCTCTTCGTATTAGCAGATATGCCGTGGGTTGCCTACCCCTGCTATAGACTGTAAGCTTGTTTGAGCAGGGCCCTCTTCAACCTATCGTCCCTGTAACTGTTCTATTTATAATTAAATCCCCCTCTCATAATATTGTAAAGCGCTACAGAATCTGTTGGCGCTGTATAAATGGCGATAAGAGTAATGGAGGTTACCACGGTCTCGCTGGATCCCCCATCGACCTTACAGTTGTACTTTCGCATCTGAGTGAAAGTTCAGCATTGATGCCTGGCTAATGAAGTGCCAGGAGCTGAAGGAGACATCTATTCAGATTTGGTGGCCACAAGGGGCAGCTTCCGGTAAGTAAATCTACCTTCCACAGAACCCACCTTCCAGGTAACAAACCAAATCAAGCCATCCATCGCGACATTACCAACGCAGCGCTCACTGCCCTCCACTAACCCAGGATTCAGGCATTTCATGGTTTATCCCAATGGAGATGCCGCTATAACCTGCACTGGTGGGGGGTGAGGACTGGTTTGGGAAACACTGCATTAATCAATGTGGGGTTTGGGGAGTGCTCCAGCACCTGTGGTATATATTGCAGGGCAGCATGAACAAATGTTTGTCCAGGGAAGCATGATGAATGTATGGATTCCCTGAGGGGCTGGTTTAATGGTTAAATAAAAAGTAAAAATAACTGTGAATGTTATCCTATAATTTCCCAGGTGTGTGCTGGGTCCCATAGCCGTACGGTCATTGGCTGAAATAAACATCAATCACTAGAGGGGGCGGTAACAACTTATGAACGCTTCTTCCCATTGGCTGAGCCCTTCCCCGGTACAGGCTGGGCCAACTCTGTGGCCGACCATTGGTTCCGTTGGAGTGCGGTCAGAGGGGGCGGGGCCTGTGATTTGGTCGGCAGCCGATTGGTTCTCACGGCTGTCTATCATACCGAATACCTGCACCGGATGCCCCGGGAGCTCCTCCCCACCTTTCCCCGCAGCTGGCCGCCTCACACTCTAGGCCACTCCCGGTAAATGACGGGACTCGTGCTCCAGCTCACACACTGCCCGCCGGGGGGCCGGAGGGTCACCTGGACACACCCGGGGGACTTACCTTTCCCTGGGGGTCACTGACCGGCACCATGTATTCATCATTAGCGGCCCGTGCCCGTCACACCCGGCCCGCCCGCATTCGGGTCACTCGCACTCCGCCGGACACATTACCGATAACCGCCTCCCACACGGGCTCGGGTCACTTACCGGGAGCTCCGGGCGGACACCCGACACTCTGTGTCTTCTCACCCACTTTTTCTCCGCCGCTGCTTCCGCCGCCCGAATGTCCGGACAAAGGGTCGGTCACGTGATGACGCCCGAGGGCTGAGACTGTCTTAAAGGGGCCGCGCCTGGGGTGGGGGTGAGGTTGGAAGGGGTGGGGGAGAGAGACACCCGGAGGAGTGGTGGAGGCATGTGTGCTCTCACCCGAACAGGGCGCTGCACCCTCACCGGGTGTACCCAGTGACAGACACAGGGGATCACTATGGTAAAGCTAGGCAGAGATAGACCATCACCTGTTATACAACCACAACTCCCATCATCCCTCTCGGGCATTTACACTGGACATGGATTATAGGAGTAGTAGTTCTAGCTCAGCTGGAGAGTCTCCCTGCAGCCAACACTGTACTTACTGTTTGTGCTGCTTGTAAACTGTTGAGTTTTGCTTTGTAATTGGCTCATACACATTGACATACATGGACACCGCTATATGTAAATAAATAGTATAAATCTGGCATTTCTATAAACACATGGAATGAAATATCCAAGTCTCAAGAGACTTAGTGAGTGGTGCACTGTCCTTCAGAGTCAAGCAAGTCAACAGTGGACAGCCAGATGTAAATGTATAAATATAACATATGATACATTGTTACATGCATATCATGCTTTGCCAGTCTTGTAAGGTCAAAATCGATATGCCTCTAATTTATATATAATCATTTATTGCATATATTTAACTTCCGGTTAATATAGACACTGGTAATACCACTCTGGGTGATCTTAACGGCATTGGACCTTTAACTAAGCCTAAATGCTATTTTTGGCTGAATAAGATTTTCTGGGGTTCTGCTGGTATGGAGCTGGGTGTAGGGAATATCATTAGCCCAGCAGTAACCATGATGCTTGGTCTTATTAGCCACTCATTAGTTTTAAAGGCCAACAGCCAAGGTACCAATATATCCGGTTGAATCTTTACAATAAATAGATTACACATATTGCATGGACTTGCATGTAAAGCAAGTGTCCTACCAGGCATGCATTATTTATTTATATCAACCCAACACATTTTGCAGAGCTAATTAATATGTGTGAAAATAATATAACATTGGTATTTATATAAAGAATTATATTGTGCAAGGGAAATGGTTCTGTCTGAAGAAAGTATATACATTGGTGTTTCCGTCTTATAAAATATATTTGAAAATATTTCAAACTCTTTTTAGAAGATTATACAGTCATTTTTATGTTATGTGACACCCAAAAGTTCAATGAGCATCTTGTACACCAAGCATATCAAACTCAAAGTCTAGCACGGGCCAAATAAACAAGGTTTACATTTATGTGGGCCGCAACAAAAACAACTTAAATTTTCATAGAAATGTAGGTTTATTTTGAAATCCCAGTCCCCCCTTCTACTAAATCCCAGCACCCCCCTCTGGCCAACAAGCTGACGCCACTCACAATGCCGCTGCCAGTATGCGACTCCGGAGTCCGGCCTCTGGTATACCCCAAATGGTACCTTTCGCACCTTGTGCTAAATCGGATCCTCCCGCTACTTCTTCAAACCCTGTGAAGGTGGAGCATGTTGACGTCACGTTGGAATGTGACGTGGCATTGCGTGCCTCCGTGCACCTCCATGTCCTCCACTGTCCAGCTGCGGCCATCGCAACACTGACCGACACACACATACACTGATGGACAGACACACACATATTCACTGACACACACATCATTGTATTTATCCCTGGGGTCTAGTGGGTGATCTGTCTGGAGATTTCCTTCCTGCTGCTCCCTCACGCACGCAGTTTAGTGGTGCTGGAATATGACGTCATATTCCGGCATTACTACAGACGACGCACGTGAGGGAGCAATTATGAGCAAAAAGACAGAGCTTTTCCAGCGACCTCTCCTTCCGGCCGGGTACATTTTAGCACAGTAGGCACCTGCAATGTGGAGAAAGCAGATGCCTACTCTGCTTTAACACTAAGCATGTGCTCGCTGCGCCGCAAAGATGTCCATGGTGGGCCGCATTCGGCCCGTGAGTTTGACATGCTGGTTATACACCAAGCTTCCTTGTTTGTTTGTTCTACTTGAATATAGTTACAGAGATTAAATAAAAAAGTACTTGCAGCTCTGAGCTGCCCCACCTCCTCTCATGATGTACAAGTGCTTACAGAAGTTAGTTTCTCAACAAGCAATTTATCGAGCTACTTAATTAGCGATCTGTTCATGAATAATACTAATAAATAGTGTTAGTGCTGAATCTACATTATCGTCTACATAAAACCTTAAAAATGGGTTCATGGGATAGGTACAAAGCTCTTAATTCAACACTATAACCACTACATTGACTTATAGTGGCTTTAGTGTTCAGAGTGCTCCTTTAACAAGATACTGATTTTTTTTCATTCTGCTTAAAGAGACACTATAAGCTGCATTTTGGTCCATTCAGTTTAAATAAAGAAAATCGCTAAGTAGCAAAACAACTTTAGTTTAATTTCGGTGTACAGATCCTGCCCCTGCATTCTATCTGCACAACCCTTTGCCATTCAGACGTTAGATGACCTTGTTTCTGCAGCCCTAACCAGACCTGCCCTGTCTTTTGGCTCAAATCTCCTTAAAACAAACTTGAAATTTTAAAGAGCTGGAGATAAGAACTTCTAGAACTGTTTTCTTTCCCATGATGGCTTTGTGAGTTAGGAAAGGTGGGGCTAGGGATGCAGGTGTCATGCCTAAATAGCTAGCTTCATTAAGCTTAAGTTGTTTAGCTCTTAGAGTGTCACTTTAACTATAGCACTGCTGATCATATGACATAAGCAGTACTTTATAGACATAACAAGAATTTCTGTGAGTCCTCGTTTTACTGTCAGCTTTCCAATCATTATGACGTGTTTTCTTAAAAAAAAAAAAATGAATTTAAAAAAAACAAAACTCTAATCTAATCTAACGTGTTGGCAATGGATAACCTGAGACAGCAAACACTGTAAGGAAAAAGAATACTCGCGGCACACATGTTGGCTACATACAAACCAAACAGAGGTAAAGCAGGTTGCGCCAAATAACAGACAAATAATAAACATAATAGGAAATCATGCAGAAAGGTTCAACATGATGTAGTCCACAATTTTCTCTATCAAATAATCTCGCTTCAGATGGGGCTTGTAGTTAAATCCAAGAGTACATACAAAAAACAGAAAAACAAACAATTGTTGCAGACTGATATAAAAGGTGGAACACAGACCACATAAAATGTATACATGCCCACTCAAATTTGCTGGAGCTTAAACTAGCTCCAGTTAGAATAAGGTGCAGTGATAAATCTCCAATTGTAGATAAAATATTTCTTTTGGATAACATCCAATGGTGACCAGTGGTAAAGGTGAAAAGAAAATATCCAAAAAAAGATTTAAAAAAAGCAAACAATCCTATCCTAGTATCTGGACATTTTACTTCAGCCTTGGGTTGAAAATATGTGATCTTATCTGAAAGACTACGTCCCTACTTTACGCACTGGTTGGAATGCGGTGGAACCCTAATTATATTTTAATTACTTGTGACGTTCAGTCCTTGTACGCTATTATTCCCCACCAAAAAGGCTTTGAAGCTTTAAATTATACTGAAAGCTGAAGAAACCATCCCTGAACATTAAACTGACTATCACGGACGTTATAAATATTATTTTAAATAACAAATTCTTTTTAGACACTTTTTATCTGCAAAAACAAGGACAGCTATGAAGACCAGGTTTTCAATGTTATCATGGCAGATTGGGAAGCCACTGCCATTTTGAAATCTTATGTTTCTCTTTATACTACATGGCCGTTGAATGCTTCAATCTGATTGGTTGACAAACGTTCTAAGGTGTGCATTATTTTCAGGGAGATGCACGGCTAAAGTAGTTCCAGACAAGTCTTGACCGCATTACAGTTCCATATCACTTCGCGTAGTCAACTCTAATAACGGAAAATAGATTACATAAATAAAAAGTCCTGCTGCACGAGTTTCCGTTACAGCCTACTGTCAATAAATTGAAAAATAAAATTAACAAATGAATTAAAACTAATGCATTAATAAATAAATTAAATATTGACGCACATGCTTTTCTATCTCATTATTGCAACCTCTCTCGGTCTCTCTAGTAACTGCACTAATAACTGCATTAGTCTGCTATCAGTGGCTCAAATCTCCATTACTAACTCTTAAATGACGTTTTGGAATTAGCAACGAAGGCATGGGAATTGATGCGTAAGAAATTAGTCCTACATACAAGAGCGTTTTAATGACAAAAACTTGACAAACGTCTTGAAATACATCATCTGAACAATGTTTCGAGGTGTGGTAACTGTAGTATAAGCAGAATAATTGACTCAAGGCCGTTGAATTATTAGAAAAAATAATGCACGCCCAAGGTGTAACGGCCGCTCTGCGTCGTGACCGCATTACCACCTCGGGTGTGCATTATTTTTCTTATAATTCAATGGCCTGTCGTCAATTATTCCTTACGTGTATGTCGTTGTGGAATGGTTATTTTGTTACTGTACGTCTATTTATATTGCACGTTTTGTAGGCTATGGGCTTAAGTTTTATAAACTGTTGTTATAACAAACCCAGTATATTAAACAAAAAACCCACACAGAGACACTGAGGGTATTATTCAGTAGATTGGGATTTTTCGTGAACAGAAAATTGATTTGTAAAATTTGTAAACCTGCCAAGTGGTAAGAATTCTTCAAATATAATTTTTCTAACCAAGCTCTTTTGGCTTACATTTTATTCTCAATTTAATATAATTTATTTTATACTTACTAACTAAGTTTTACGTAGCAGTTTGTCTACAAATTCATTCATTTGTAGAACTGAAAATAAATAGTACTTTGTACGGGGTGGGCCAAAATTCAGTGCAGGATTTGACAAGTAAATAACTTATTTGTTAGTAGTTAATTTTTTGTTGTTGCAGGTACATATAACTGAGTCTTTGGAGATTATTAATCGGTAATTTCATGAAAGACAAATTAGTAAAAATAGTAGAATTTTAGTTTCAAAAAGGCAGGTCCATTATTTTGGCACAAGTAGCTTACCGCCACCACTTCAATGTGAGAAATTGATATTTTTGCTACCGACAGTTCCCATGGGGATATCTGATGGAGCGGGTGTACGTGAACAAGCTTGAACAAGATCAAGGAGAATATCCATGCAGAAATTCAAGTGGTAGAGCCTTTGTACCTAGTCAAACAAATCTCCATACATTAAGCATTCATTGTACGTAATATCATTGAAAGTAGTTAATTAATAAAAAATATATTGACTCTTCAACTGTACTCTGAATTTAAGCCCACCCTGTAGTTCTAGTAAATAAAAAGCAATTTCTAGAAATTCTGCTTTCCTGTAATCCAGAAATTCTGCTTTCCTGTAATCCAGCTTTCAGAACTGCACCTAAGCCACCTTTCAGTTTCATGTCGGAAGATCAAAAATAAAGCAGAATTTGTTGCAGGTCCATTTGCTCATTATCTGTGATGAAGTATTGACTGGAAGTATAGTTTCAAGTAAACAGTCTGTACAAATAAATGAATATTTATCTAGGTGCTGCATAATTACTATGTGCACCAAATTGTACTGCTGCTATGTATCTGTTCTTGTTAACAGAGAATCGGTTTAATATCATCATCACTATCATCCACTTCATGTATGATTAAGTCAGAAGATGTTTCCTCTATTCGTTTTGGTTTGGATTGCTGTACTCCATCATGGAAATTCCACATTTGTTCCTTGTCTTCATCTCCTGATAGTACAATGGTGGGATCATCCTCATCATCTACCTCAATTGGAAAACTGTCCACTCCAACTTCAGCCAAACACTCTCGACACAGTCGAAAGCGCCTTGTCCCATCCTGCACCACTTGGCCAGTCTCTTCTGTGACATGTCTTTTACACCTCCGACATATGGGCTTCCCTGCCTCGTGGATCTGACGGATGAGGAGTATAAAATAGAGTCAGAAAGTTTACAGATTTGCCCCCACAACATCATATTTTCACTTAAATTGTATTTGTAAATGTAAATGGACACATAACATGCCAACAGGGTTTTGGGCAGTCCAACGGTTTTATGGCAGTCTGCATGACCTAATTGTTAAATGTGGACCCAAATACTTTGTAGTAGAAAGAGCTCTTGTGATGGAGTAGCTTTTAAAGGACATTTTTATTAAAGAGTTAACCAAACTCCGGGCTTACCAACCAAAAAAAAAAGTTTTTAAAGAAAATACTATTTTTGGTCAGGTTAACCATTGGTTCAAAATGTAAAAAATGACTAAAATTCACTTCATTCTTAGCCTAATCCTTCTTTGCTTTTGTCAATTGCCCCCACACTTAAGGGGGACAGATGTCAGAGAGGGCAGTACATAGGGTAATAGGAATGTTTAAATAGAGTCTTTCCTAACTAAACGCATATTTCCTAACTCTCAACCATCTATTCTCCAGTTTACTGTAATGCAAAATAACTCACAGTTCGAAAATGACTACGAACATGCTCCAGCCTTGTAAATCTCTTGCCACATGCCTGGCATGGATATGGCCGTTCTCCTGTGTGGCACCGCAAGTGACGTTTTAGGTCTGCTTTCCTCTTTACCATATGTGTGCAGAATGGACACTTAAAACGCATGCTTGGCAGAGCATCTGCAGATAAAACATAGATGAAGTTAAAACAGAATGTCTGTGATAAACATGTATTTAGCAAAACTACAGACACTTTTTCTGTTGAACTAGGAAATAGATTTCACAAACCAAGTTGTTTAGAACAGTAAATGACTGTTTACTGTTTACATGTTGAGGCCTTTTAACAAAAAGACACCCACACAAACACAAACCCACCCACCTCTGGTAAAAGGAATGACACAATAAAAAGAACCTAGAGGGGTTCAGAAATATATTTTGAGTTAGTTTTATGTATGAGGCTATATCTAGCATACCTTTTCAGGAATTAGGGGAGCTAGTTCAGAATTTTTTTTTGTAACAAAGTATTTTAATGAAATATTCCAAGCACCATTATTACTACAGCATGCTGCAGTGGTTATGTTGCAATGAATGCCTAGAGCCCCTACCCCACATTGTAAGTAGTCAAACCGTTTCAGTCAAACAGTTTGACTTCTTGCCTGGGGTCCACTGGGTGCTACTCCCCACCTTCACCACTCAAACAGAGTGTCAGAAGCTCTGTGTCTCAGGTAAGCCCAGCAGTGCAGCTGATGCTTTCAGCCAATGACCTAGCCCTACACGGCAGGGCTTAGATCAGGAGCTTTTAGTATTCCATCATTAGAATTGGAAGCAGGGAGCGGTGCCGAGGTAAGAAGTCAAACAGTACTTAAACAGTTTGACTACTTAGAATGAGAGGGCGCCAGGGATGTAGTGGTTATGGTGCTTGGAGTGTTCCTGTAATTAATATTCTAAACTATTTATTTTCTTTATCATCACTCATACAGTTATTGCACGAATATGAAAAATACAATGCCAGAGGGCCAAACGTAGCCTCTTTAACCAACACAATTCTGGCTCTTCTAAATTACTCAATCTCTGCCTGTTCTTACCTTCTCCCCAGCTTCCTGTAATGCCCATGATGGTTGGCATGGTGGCATACAGCTCGTCTGCTTTAGTAGCTCTGTTTTGGTATGATTTTGTCATATCTTTCTGCTGTGTTGCTGTCCAGCAGTTCATAACAGCTTCAGATTCCATTGCAGGTGGGTACTCATCATGGGGCATTTCAACCTTTGTGGTGCTACCAGTCTCTGTAATTTTGGAACCTTTGGCTCTCTCTTCTGGACAACAAGTAGAGCTGGGCAATTGAGGAGGCTCAATAGGTCTTTCTGATGTCCTTTGCGATATTGAACGATCATTTAGGGTGGAGGAAAAGTCATTTCTCCTAGGATAGAATCCATATGGATTCCAAGGACTTGATGCATCTAAGGATCCAGCAATATCACCATCTGAACGAGTGGATGAGCAATTATTCATTCCCCATCCTACTTTTGGAAGACTGTAGTCACTGTGGTGGCGCCAAGGCTCTCGGTCTGATAACCCAAAGAAACCATCCTTGTCCTTCTCATTAATATCCAGAGATGATTTAATGAATTCCTTACATACGTTGATCACATCTGTCATCTGCAGATAGCTGGCTGCGGACATGACTTCAATGACATTTTGTCCTGAGAGAGGCAGCTTGCCAGAGTATACATAGTCAATGATGGCAGTGAATGTGTCAGCAGAAAATATATCAAAAGTGGCAGTAGTGGGCTCTCCAACATCTCTGCAGCTTTGTGATAGAAGCATTTTGAAATAACCGCTGCTGGCAAACAGGACATTACGATGAGCTTTAAACATCTTACCCTCCACCAGGATGTGACAATCACAGAAAAGATCCCTTCGCCGTTGCTCATCTAGCTGCTGGAGTAGGCGAGTATGATGGGAAGAGAAATCCATCTTGAGGAAGGATACAGAGAAACAGAGAGATGTCTATATCTAAAGATACATGTCAGATTATAGGATCATCATGGAGAACAATTTAAAATAAAACATTCAGCATGCATACAAACAAGGATCGATCAACAGGTTTCTATTTTTTTTTACTCCTTTTTTCTTTCAAATTAAGATTTGTATATATTTCACTAACAGCAATGTATAGTGTAAATCCAATTTCAATTACACAGGCATTGCAGAGGTATACAGGATGTAATGCTGCTTCAGTGCTCTAAATGGAGCATTTCATGGAAATTGTGGTCATTCCCTATAAATTTAGTATCAACAAAACTCCAGCATTAATACATTGTCTATTTTAATGTATTAGAAAAACATACAGAGACAGTGAATGAGAACTGTAACTTCCATGGAATTTAAACATTAAATTAATTTAGTAAAAAAATTACCTATAACTCTTGTTAGCTTATTTATGTAATGCTCAGTTTTCTTATATACATTATATTAATAATTTATAAAATAACATCACAATCCAGTTTAGTTTAGGCACATCCAGGGCACACATTGCAAATATGTATGAGAAGTAGTGATGTCCCGAACGGTTCGCCGAACCGTTGCATAGCAAGACCACTTAATGTTATCTCACATATATATTATTATTATTATTCTTATTATTGCCAAATTTACCACCCTAACTCCTCCCACAGTTTTTACACTACATAAACAGTAATATACTTAAACGTGCGGATTGTTCCCGATTGGTGTGCTATTACATCGTGGTTCACGAAATATCGTCATTTTTGTGGTGGATTTGGTCCCATAGGAATGATGGCAAAATGTTCAAAACTGGAGTGGGAGCTGACAAAAGCTGAAAAATTACACCATTCTGCACCCAACAGAAATAGACCATACATGCCATATGGTGGCTCACAACAGCTACTCACGAATAGACAGATTCCTCATTCCTGCTACATCAATGCCCCAGATAGAAGAAGCCACAACTGGGGTAATGACGTGGTCCGATCATGCTCCCATCACACTTAGTATTAAAGAATCATTCGCCAACAAAGGGTCAGGCACATGGAGACTTAACAAATCTCTTCTAACAGACCCCTCTATAGTTTCTCAAATAACAAAAGACTTACAAAACTATATTGCAGAAAACACAACCGCTGACTCTACCATCAAACAAATTTGGCTAGCACACAAAGCGGTCATAAGGGGCAGCTTTATAAAGCATGTCAGTTATGTCAAAAAACTGAGAACAGCAGAATACACTAAACTCTTAGAAGAAATCCAAACCCTAACACACTCTAACAAAAAATAACCAAAATCTACTACGAAAACAAAACTTTTAGTTCTCCAAAACAAATGAAAAAACATTGAACTAGCCAAAACAGCATACTTACTCCAAAAGCTTAAACATAACTTTTTCACAAGTGGTAACAAAGCGGGCGCTATTCTAGCTTCGCAACATAAACGAAGGATGGTCGCCTCCAGGATTGCCTTCCGAAACATCTCTAAGAGCAAGAAAATAACAAACCCCCAAAACATTGTAGACCAATTTGCGTTATACTACAGCGAATTATATAATCTTAAAAACGACCCTAACATCACAACACCAGCCCTAGACAAGATAGACTAATTCTTATCTAACTTAAATCTACCCAACTTTTCAGAGGAAGACCTGATACCCCTGAAACAACCCTTCTCTCTTGACGAACTCACAACAGCAATTTCACAAGTCCCGGCACACAAATCACCAGGCCCCGACGGTCTAACGAATGAATACTATAAAACCTTCTCCCCAACAATAGCGCCATTACTCTTACAATTAGTAAAAAATGTGCCATAGAGGGCGCATTGCCAAAAGAAATGCTCTTAGCACATATCTCTACCCTCCCCAAGCCGGGCAAACCTCCCACACAATGCAAAAACTTTCGGCCCATCTCCTTACTAAATGGAGACGCCAAGCTATATGCGAAACTGATCAGTAACTGTCTTGCCCCCCTCCTACACAAAATAATCGACAACGACCAATCCAGATTTATTCAGGGCCGCCAAGGCTCGGATAACAGCAGGAAGATCCTAAACATAATATCCGCACTAGAGTCCAAAAAATCAACAGGCCTTCTCCTCGCTCTAGATGCAGAGAAGGCCTTCGATCGCCTAAATTGGGCTTACATGACCAAGGTATTATCAAAATTCAATTTCCCCATGTCTATCATAACGAGCATCATGGCATTATACCACCACCCAGCGGCAAAAGTTTCACATGGAGGGTTCCTATCTACACCATTTTCCATCACAAATGGAACCCGCCAAGGATGCCCCCTGTCACCCCTTTTATACATACTCGCCCTAGAACCCCTGGCTCAAAAGATCAGATCACACCCTGAGATATTAGGCGTTAATATCCACGACAAGATGTATAGCCTAGCTTTATTTGCGGACGACATCTTTATAGCACTGTCAGACCCAAAACACACTCTTGATCCCAAACTGGATCTACTACAACAATTCGATAACATTTCATACTACCGCCTGAATCAGGATAAGACTCAAGCCCTACCTCTAAACCTGCCGAAGTCCCTGCTAGAAACACTACATGCCTCCTAGCCGTTTGACTGGAAATCAAACTCAGTAACGTACTTAGGGGTGAAGATAGCACTTTCAATATCTGCCACTTCACAACTAAACTATAATCCCCTTCTAACACTATGCAAGTCAGAAATTAACAAATGGAAACACACAAAAATCTCATGGTTAGGAAAAATCAACACATATAAAATGATGATTCTCCCCCGTATCCTCTATATATTTAGAATGATACCCCTTGGGATCACACCCCACTACTGCAAAGCACTACAAAACCCAGGGTGTCCTTGGCACTCCTCCAAACCACACCGTGACTAGGGGGAGTGGTACTCCCAAACATTAAGCAATACCAAAGAGCAGCGATACTTTCAACGGGTATACTCCTCCATGCCCAACCCGGTATGCTCCAGTGGGTTGACATGGAAAGAGCACAATTTAAAGACATACCTTTAACGGATTATATGTGGACACCCAGGAGGTACAGAACCAGACGCACTAACCTATTCCCAACCACACAACTCACACTATCTCTATGGGACACCTTCATGGAGACGGTAGGCCATAAAGAAACATTACACGCCAAAATCGCCAATCTCAGTCCTTAAAGTAAATCGTACAGGACATCCCCCTCAAAGATTGGACCGAGGCAGGGTTAACAAAAATATCACAACTACTAGACACTAGAGATGTCGCGAACCGTTCGCGAACTTCCCGTGAACGGCTCGCCGCGGTTCGCCACGAACCATTTGCGGCGAGCTCCGGTCAGCTGACACATCCCGGCCAATCTCCAGCAGACCCTCCCTCCCAGACCCTCCCACCTCCTGGACAGCATCCATGTTGAAGCTGCCTTCAAGTGAAGTGAGCAATTTGGAGCAGTTTGTTTTTAACCGCTCTTCTCTGCCCTATTTGGAATCTATTAGTTCCTGTTGGCAGTTGGTGGAATGTTCCAGGGATTTGAAATGGCAGCTGCAGAAACCCTGTGTAACAAGGTTGCAATATGAAGATGCTGTTATATATGTATTAATAAAGTGAATACTTCGCTATACAGGAATTATTGACTGATTTGTACAAAACATCACAGTGGCAGCAGGGATAGCCGAATGTTTTGATATAAATTGGTACATTTATATCCCTACATGGTAGGACCACTTACTATTATCTCACATATATATTATTATTCTTATTGAGCAATTTGGTTTGTTTCTAACCGCTCTTCTCTGCATTATTTGAAATCTATTAGTTCCTGTTGGTGGAATGTTCGAGGGATTTGAAAGATTTGAAAGCTCTTCTCTGCCCTTGCTGTAGAGTGAGTGAACCACACTCCAACCTCTCCACAGTTACTCCAGCCACTCCAACCACACAACAGTTACTCAAGCCACTCCACCCAGTTACTCCGCCCACTCCAGTTGTAGACTACTGGTGGAGGCAAGAACACTTCACACAATTTCCCCAGAAATTGTAGCTTTTCTAGTTTCTATATACTTTCTTTGTGCTGACTGGCAGACGCAAATACCAAACCATTTAACAATCATTAATAGGGAGCTAGAATTGAGGTATGAAAGGTGCTGATTTCTACATTTAATTAGATTTTTCACACTCTACAAATGTATGCTTAATAAATATAGGGATGAACAAATGTGGCCACAATAGTACTGAAGATAGGTTCTGCAAATAAATATACAAAAACATGATACATTCTGTGCTGCTTTCACCCCTACCCTGTGTTGCTTATTAAAAGGGTCAGGAACCTCAATAAGTATATGTGCACCCTTGCATCCAATTAGCACTGTCCTCATGTTTGTTTGGATACAGAGGGATAAACATAAAATAAAAAAATTCTGTGAGGTGATATTTCAAAACTTTTATTGAGCACAACTACAATGAGCACATACATGTGTTAAAGGTATGTCAAGTATAGTGGACACGCAGGTCCCGCAAGCAATATCATAATCGCATAGAGTGATCGATGATATTCTTACAGATATATTTCCATCATGTTTGCACATCATAGTAAAGCCTCACAAAGTGTGAGATTTATGGTCAAGAAAATACAGCAGGTTACCCGTTGTACCAGTGAGTGGATGGGTTGCATGCATGTGAGCCAATAATAACCTAATAGGAATAACTCACATGTATATATTATATAATGCAAACAAAATGCATCATTTGGTGCACAGAGTATAGAAAATTCCTGCACCCCCTTCCTGTTAAGCAACGATTGTACGATCTTAAAAATTAGAGAGGGAAAGAGTAGAGAGTGAAAGGAAAGGGCTGTACGTGAAGAGGGAAGAGAGAAAAGAGAAGTAAGGGGAAGAGAGAGAAAAAAAAAGGGGGCGGGGAGGGAAGGGGGGAGAGGGATGGAAGGCATGAAATAAGCCATGTGGGAGTTAAGGTGTCAAGAGGGCAAC